ATTTGGAATTAGCCTCCATTTGGCCAACAATAAATTGTACTGTTGATATAAACATTTGGTGTCCCATTTGAAGTTAGATGCTATATTGTTTCCTGTTTTAGGAGAGGGATAATCATAATGGATTATTACACAAATGTATCAAACAGAAAGCATTTAGAGCTAAACACAGCGTCTGCCTTCATACACACAGATATGGACCCTTAGGATAAGTAAGCTAATGGTAAACATAAACAGGAGAGTTAATATTTGTTCTGCTTGATGTTGTTGATTGGTTTAACAAATCCTTTGTGGGCCATCTATGTTGAACAGTTCTGCACAATGCACTTGAGCTAAATTACATAACAGTTTATATGATTACAATTGGTAAATTGTTACTCAGACTGTAAAGTCCTATCTAGCAATCCTGCCATATTTCTAGAGCAAATTGCTCCTTAATTGAAACCTGCTTCAATATAAAAATACAGCCTTTTCAATGAGTCATCCTTTTTTTCCCCTTACAGTTTGTAAAGGCTTCCAGCAGTTTAAAGCGAGGGTTAATTTTGCATTAAGACCATTGCCTCCTAGTTTCTTTCAAATAAAGCCAGGGGAAGTTCAGGGGAAGGCTCTTTCCTCTGATAATGAAGCTCTCCATGTTAATGATGCGTGCAGGCTCCCTCAGATCCTCTGAATTAGAAATACTCGCGTGTGCGAGCGCTACTCTGCTTCATTAACATTAAGGAGAGGTAGATTGGTGGCTATTTAGGGCACAGTGAAATCGCTGGCTATTTAGGGCAAATGGAAATGGTGCTAATTGTGGCTGGTAATTCCATTAGTAGGATGCTTCCATTTTGGTGACTGTTTGGCATATAGGTGAAAAAATCAAGCCCGCTGACATCCTTGTAAGGAGAATGCAGTACCAGGCTCACTGTTTCCTTGTACAAGTTTTCTGTGCAGAGTTGCAGAGATTTTCAGGTGCTCCTTTTTTTTTTTTTCTTTCTTTCTTTTTCTTTTTTTTTTTTTTTTGGTGTGGTGCAGTATGTCAGGAGCGGGGCATGTGTTTGTGGGTGCAAGATGTGTGAAAAGCAAGGACGCAGCGTTCCAGGGGAAGGAAACCCCAGAGGCTTCAGGCTATAAGATGTCAGGCAGTCTTTCTCTCTGGCTCCCTTTCCTTCCTAGGTCATGAACAAAGTTCCAAATGAAGGTCAAGGAACCTAGACTATCTTACTGTAAGCTGTGCAAAGCTTTATGGCTTTTTTTTTTTTTTCAAATAAAATTTCCACAATGAAGGCTCCTGGAATACCGGAAAGATTTATTTAATTTAACTGTACCCATCTAGAAGTTAGCTATGTACTTTAGGATAACTATTTGAGGTGACTTTATAACTTCACATCAAGGTCATGTCCAACTATCTCGGATTCACATTGCATTCACTAGTCAGGGAGTCTACCAGGCAAGTGTGGCATTGCAGCCTAAATTTCTTACAGACAAATCGGTGGACTTGTATCCCTCCCTGTATCCCAGCAGGATTGCCCCTTCCTGGCTTTCTCCTCTGTCTTTATAGTTTCTTGGAAGTACTGTGAAGAAATCCCCGAGATGAGTGGTCAAAGCAGTCTCATCAGACTTTTCCAGCAATGAAGAACAGAAAGGGTAAAGAGCAAAAAAGTGAGGATCTATCCTGCACAGAGGATGCGTCAGAGTCTCCGTCACTTACTGTGGCATTGTACACCTTTGTACCTCAGTCAGGCAATTTCTGATGTGCAGGAGAGTTTAATGCTGCACCACACTACATTTGGTATGCCACTGCTGCTAAAAATGTTTTCTTGAATACCTGTGCAGGTGCTGATAACTGTGGCAATAATGTGCTTGTCATTTACTTGCTTAATTAGCAGCCTAATATCCTGGTCCAGTTAATGCCTATAAGAGGAGGTTTATTAGTAGTACGAAAGCTGTTTAAGCCTTATAAACTCCTTCCAGTCAGTTTCATTGGTCTGCCAATATCTTCTGGTTGAGTGATTCTTTGCTGATTCACACTTCCCCTGTTTCCCACTGCTGTTTCTCAGCTGAATGTTTCTGGGTAGTCAGAAAGCCCTTTGCCAAAGTGATAGGCAACAGAATAGCAAAAACAAACAAACAAACAAACAAAAAACAAACTGATTTTAAAAGAGAAAAAAAAAAATCTGCAAGCAACCCTCCTCTAAGACAACTGCTTCAGTAGTTTTCTATTGTCTCTGCAGCAGCAAGGGAGAGCTGAGATGAAAATTATATGTACCAAAAGTCAAATTGCAAGATGACGAGCTTTAGCATTGTCTGTCTTGAGTAAGAGGGTCATATCCAGTCTAAAGCACAGAGTAATATGCTAAGAGGGGCTCTTCTCCCAAGCACCGAGCGATAAGACAAGGGGAAATGACCTCAAGTTGTGCCAGGTAGGTTTAGGATATTAGGAGAAAATTCTTTACTGGAAGGGTTGTGTGACATTGGAACAGGCTGCCCAAGGAAGTGATTGGGTCACCATCCCTGAAGGTCTTCAAGAGACGTGTAGATTTCGAACTTAGTAGCATGGTATAATTAACTTTATTACTAGGTTAAAGGTTGGACTAGGTGATCTTAGCGGTCTTTTCCATCCTAGATGATTCTATGATTCCAGGATATCTAGTTGTGGGCTAATATTCTGACAGTTAGAAATACTGTTTCAGATACAATAAAAAAGACTTTTTATTTTTAGCTCAGTGTCAGCTCAAATGCCAAAACTGACTAAGTGGACTAAAGGTGAAATCATCAACTTGCCTTGATCCTGCAGCAGCACTTGATTCATGCATAAATCTGCTGCAATCATCTTTATGGCAGAATCATGGCCCCAGGGTACCGTGGCAAGCCAGCAAGGCTTCTCCTCTTCTGGGAATGATCTGCAGTCCTAGGACATGTATCCCTATCAATTCCCCACGCATAATATATAGAAATGCAAGAAGCAGGAAAAAACTTGTGAGTTGTTGTTTTGCAGCTGAAACCACAATTTTCTTACAAGCACCTGTAGTACTGTGGGTGCATGGGATGGGAGATGCTGGTGATGATGGGGTAAAACTCTTTCTAGAATGGGAAGTCTTCAACAGGAATTGTGGATGCTGCCATCAGAGTTCCTCCTGTATTTGTAGTGGTTTAGCCAGCCTCGCATCAATCCCTTTGCAAGCCAACTGGGATTATGCTCAGGATATGGAATAATCTCTGCCAGTTTCTACTGAGAAGGGTGCCACAATGAGATGCATCAAATTCTCAGACAAGCTTAGGCAGTCTGTGCATGTATGAACAGTAAGGAGACAGGGACGAGGTTCTTAGGCTAGGATTTATTCTTCCTGACTTTTGATATCAGAATGTGATTCCTCATGTGGAAGTCTTGTTGCACAAATTCATTCAGGTCATGGAGAAAAAGCTACTGCAGAGAACGTTTTAGCCCACCTCACATCTGACATCCTCTGGAGGAGCTTGATGCTCCTCGTTGCCTCTAGAGGGAGCAGGTATGACTGTAGTTCAATGCTTAAAATTAAAAAAAGTAAATTCCAGCTGCTGTGACTTCACTCTTCCTATGTCTTTCATGTATCCCAGACCTGGGTGTCGTGTACCAATTTGAGTGAAACAGTATTTTAGCACCTTCAGTCTTGAAGATATAAGCTACTTTTTCTCTGTTGATATTTAATGTGAATGGCATGATTCAGTTACAAAATAAATCCATCTGTGTTGCTTTATAAGTCAGTAAGGCCTTCTATGGTGTCTTTGGAGGCTGCTCAAAGACCTTCTCAGTCAAGTTCCAGATGTGGAGCAGTAGCAGTGTTGCTAAACAGAACATAGTTTAAACCATAGTTTGTATCCATTTCAAGAGCTATTGCAGGTATGCAAGATGCTGGGGACCAGAATTAAAATCTTTGTTTTGAAGCAGCTTATGATCAGACATGAAGAGACGATGTTCAATATCTGAACATCAGAAAGGTTAGTGGCCTTTCATCTTCATCCTTTCCTTCACGCAGTTTGTTGCCTTCAACAAATGAATTCCTCAAAGCAGAATATTCTGTATTTTTATACATTACATTACACAGCCTTTTATCTTAAGGAAACTCACAATAGTACTAGTAAGAAGTTAATCTGTCTAGAAGCTCAAAAATCAAGGTCAGTTTAGCATAATTTGAAAAAAGTGTATTTGCAGGAAAAAGATGGAGTCTGCCCCTGGAGAGGTAGCAGTGTAAATTTTTGGCCATACTCAAGGCAGGTAGTTATATCTATTCTAGCCTCACTGCACTATTTGCTATTTTTAGTAGAGAAAGGCCCCCAGCTGTCTTAATTTTAAAGGGTTTTTAGCCATTCAGAATATCATTGCTATTGGTGATATTTTCAGGAAGTTTTTCCTCTGAGTAGATTGGATAGGAATTAGGAGAGGAAAGTGCTAGTGGAAAAGGGGGTTGAGTTCTCATTTGGATGCTCAGCAGACATGCTGTACTAAATGTTCACCCCCTTTGTGAAGTCTTTCATCAGTCTGCAGCAGCCCCAGCTTTGTACTGCATGCTGAGCCAGGCACAGTGCAGCATTTTTAATTATACAGGATTTTCTCACCTTCAGCCTTAATAAAACTTCTGACTGCTTAAGTAGGACTAACCAGGAAACTCTATCAAACCATTGCATGAAGATGAAGATCCAGAAAGTTGAGCCTGAGGATCATGAGCCTGGTGGATGGGAAAATATCCCGGCAGTACAGGAGCTGGTACCCTGGCTGTTGCCATTGCTCTGCTTTGGCACAAGCCTTGCTCCTCTTTTATCTTCCACCCTTTGTCTCTCTTTCTCTCTCTCTTTTTATGGCTCTTCAGGCAGAGATCGTTTCTTACTGTGTTTGTAAAGAACTACACAAATGAAGTCACGTTCTGAGAGAGAAACAACACATACTACTGTAATTCAAATAAAAATAGAACTGTAAAGGTTGCAAAATGACAGTTGTGTAAAAAAAAATAAATTCTTTTTTTTCTTTTTTTTTTTTCCTCCAGAAAAGAGGCTCCAGACATTCCCTATAATTTAACCGTGACTGACAGTAGGAATAAGACAACCACAGTCAATTACGTCCCTGATACTTTATCAAACCCATATGGCTGGATGGTTCTTCTTTTGGATAAAGAGACTTACACGCTGACATTTGACAACCCTTTGGTCAGCAAACAGCTCCAGGTAACACAGACATTTTTTATAATTTCTAAATTATATTTGGAAGAGATAGTCATGCTTTCATCTTTCTGGGTGGGCAGAGAGAGGAAAACGAAGCATTAAGTGCACTCAAAAAATCTCTCTGTATTTATAGGCAGGGTTTAGATATGACGACCTAGTCTTGAAGCTCTCAGAAGTAACTTGGAGTAGGAATAAGATTTTGGACATAGTCGATGAATGTTCAATGTGGTGCTAAGAAATCTACAAAATTCATATTATCTTGAGACATATCCAAGGATTGTTTTCAGAAGACATAATTCTTCTGTATCTTTTAAGGTGACAAGGGAATTTTATCTGCATTCACCATCACCTCCTACTTAGTTTTCCCCACTCTCTTCCATGTTTTCAGTACACATTTTGCAAAAGAATATGTTGCACATGTGGAACATCATCCTCTATTATACTGCGCTCTGTGGAGCTCTAATCACAGAGACAGATGTGTTTATTTTGGTTCTCCCTTCTCTAGTATTCAGTGACATTTAGCAACTTCACAACTGGGAATTACTTGCTGGTGGAGCACAAGGATCTTCCTGCCCATTCTGAGGTTATAGTGTCCTGTGGAAATAGGACTGGACAGCCACTCCAATCACTGCCTTCCTATGGTCATCATGGGAACTGTGACTGGTATTTCGACAGCAGACTGAGGAAACTAACCTACTTGGGTAAGTGCAATATGAGGGTTATAATGTCTGATGTCTTTTCAATTAGAGCCCCCAGGCATTAAAAAGCCTTAGACACAAGAAAGTCTTTAAATGGCCTTTCAATAAGCATGCAGTTCTCCAATAAGACCAATCAAATAGGTAAATGCATGCACATCAGGTCAGTATCTATCCGATCTATCTGATGCCTAATCTATCAAGAACAGGAATGTATCATAAATAGTGGGTGAGATGACATCAGTTGAATTTGAATTGGTGTTTTGGAGGGGAAAAGGCATTAAATTCCACTAATGATCTCTGGTGTCAGCTGGTCCCATATCACATGTATCATTAATAAACCATGTGCAATCTATCTAGGATAAGCCCACTGAAAGCAATAGGATTACTGAACAAGGATTTTTCCTGTGACTGTAAACTTTCAAAAGCATCATAAACCTTCACATCTGAGAGTAGTGGCTTTGTACACTGGATCATGAAGTATGGTGGTCTCTTCTTTAAGAAATTTGGGTATTTAATGTTATTTATTGGGATTGTCAATACGTTCAAATTTTATTTATTCTTTTAAGATGTGGTCAGTTCCCATAATTCCCCTTCTCAAGCGAATTCTTTTCTAAGGGTCTAAGTTCTGTATGTAAAAGGCAAGGTAATGATTGTTGCTGTCATTAATAATAGTAGAATCTAGAATAACAAAGGCACTTCAGTGCCCTAGAGAGGCATAGTTTATCCTTCGTGTTCATCATACAGGTAAACTAAAGCATCAAGATGCTAATTTTCACAGAAACAGGGAGTTTTGTTACTGATGTAATCCATTCATTTTAGTGAATTGCTTTTGACTTACACTGTGGAGATGGCAGGCAAATGGGTTTTTCATGTAGGATCTGCTTAGGAACAAGCAACTGGAACAATGACTGGGAGAGAGGAGACGAAAACATGGCTGGAATGAAGGCAGGTAATCCACAAAACGGTCTGACAGAAATAAAAATTGAGGAGAAATGAGGAAGCCTATCCCTTAACCTCAGTTTGAGGGGTCATACTTGCCACATCTATCTCTGGTCCTGAGGCCAACTCGTATTGCACAGCTTGTGTCCATACAGCTTAACATTTTCTCTCTCAAAACAGGCTGGATGCACCCAGGCTTCAAATTAGGAAAGATCCCTGTCCTGTGCTAACTCCCAAACCATAATGGTCACCATCTGGGAGAGTGCACTGGTCTGGGCCAAAGAGGTGCCAGAAAGTTGGCCAGCAATATTGCCATGCACATTACTGGGAGCCAGTTCTTAGTCCCATAGCTCTGCCTTGTTTAGTCTGCTAGTGCAGATATAGCTGTTGAGTAGAGATCATGTTAGGTATCCACTGAAAAAAAATATTGCTTTTTAAAAATTACTTCAGTTTTCTCACAGTGCAAATTTATTCTTGCAAATATGAAAGTCAACCTTTTTCCAGTTTGCATATCCTGAGTTGCAGTTTCATAAATAGAGCAGCATGGGAAAGCTTAGAAGATGCCATTTCTTGGTCTCTCTTTTTACTGTTGAAAACAGAGGAGATGATGGCCTTGGGAAGACTGGGAAAAGGTGATCAGGCCAGCATATATCACTCTTGCATCATAGATACATTCTTGTTCCTCATTTGCCTTCCTTTCATTCTGATTTTTATTATATGAAAAGCTCGATGTTGTTTCTCATTTTAATATAGAGAGAAACAATCACCCAGAATACACGAGGGAAAATTTATGAAAACACCTAACATGTATAATTCATGCTATGAACATTTTCAGCCAGGACTTTTATAGCAGTGAGATCAATAATTCAGTGTTGAGTACCTAATATCTAACACTGTTGGTAGGGTAAAAGCCTGAAATAAAGCGAACAGATTCGTAGCCCTGGTGTGCCGTTTAATTTCTCTCCTAATCTCTGTGCAGGCTGAGAGGGTGAGGATAATTAGCCATCAGAGCAGACTCGTGGCATGTGGTGGACTTTCCATCACTCAAGGTCCTTAGATGATAGTTGGGCTTCTTTTCAGAGAAATATGCTCCAGCTCTGTGAGAAGCTATTAGAATCCTCATGGGGCAGGATTCATGCTCCATAGGAGGTCGGGGACGGCTGCCACAATAGTCCCTTCTGGCCTTAAAGCCCTACAAGTCCAAGCACCAACCCAGAGAGGACAACGCTTGAAGGCCTGGCCTTCAGAACGCTTTGCCGCCTAACTCTGCAAGCTGTTTTTATTTTTTAGTTACATTTAACTATATGAAATAATTAGCCCACTAATTAATCCCGTTTACAAGCTTTGTCGGATTCTTCAGCTGTCAGTCATGCCTGAGCCTGGGGCCGGCGTTTAGTCTCAGCTCCCTCCTTCATGTGACTTGGTCTCCATGGCTACAGGCTGCATCTGCTGACACCCCACTCTCTATTTACTGCTTAATTAAGAATTTCACGCTCAGCCCTTATCTGCTGCTAAGAACAAGAACACACTGTTAAGAAACTCCAAATTTAGGCTGCTGCACAAGGAAAGCCTTTCTTGTAGTCCTGCCTGTGTGGAGCCTCTTTAGCTACCCTCTTGGCAACCGCGCTGCCACCCTTCAATCAAAAATCATTAAATGGGGCAGAGATAATGAGCATGTAGCATATCAAAAGGAGGATGTTTGCTCGGGCTAAGGAGGAAAAGCTGTAAGGACCCATAAGCAGCCGCCACTTCAAAGGGAGAAGGGGCCGATAAAGAGTCATTTGTTCCTGTTTGACTTATGTAAAAGGTCTGGTATGTTGGAGGCCCGTCTCGCAGACGCGGGTCCCCCCTCTCGGTGCTCGTGTGTCAGCAGCCGGGCAGCTGGGCGCAAACGGCATCAGCCCAAGCATATAATCACCCGACCCCGCGCCCACAATGGGCACTTGTAGGGGGTGGCCGGGGGAGGGCCGGGGGACAATGGGGACACAATTATTGCAGCTGCTCGGGAAGGCCATCATTCTTCCCGCACAACGTCGCCGGCCCTGGCGGGGCGGAGGGGAGAGCTCCGGCGTATTATTCATACGCCGACTTTTGGAAGCACTTTGCCGTGCCGGTGGGGTTTCGACAGCTGCTTGTGTCCCGCTTCGTTCTAATAATTGTACATTCTGTCAGGGGTCACCTTACTTTTGACCCTCTCTCTTTGTGCCCGCTGGAAAGCCTTTTAGGGCAAACGGCGGGGAAGTGGCAGGGGTGCGTTACATCCAAAATTAACGTCGGTAAATACGTATCAGATGCCAGCTCATTCACGGGCAGGCTCCCGAATTCACACAGGGGGAAAAAAGGAGGAGAAGGGGAGGGAAGACCTGATGGTGGAGAAGATATTGTTATTCAAACGAAGCGGGCAGCTGAACGAAGCCACCTTGGCCGGCAGCTCGCGTCCGGCTCAGGCGCTGTGCACGCTCCCCCCGTCCAAAATTGCCCAGTGACATGCAAGTGTTTCTCTTTGGGGAAGAAAAAAAATGTCTGTCTGACACAAAAGGCAAGAAAATGTACCGTATGGAGGGGATTAAAGGAGTTAAGTTGCCCTGATGCGTTGCATGCTCACACTTTTGTAAATGAGACCTTGGCGTGGCACAATGAAAGGGAAGCTGAATGGGGAGAAATAATTGTAACGGAGAGTGTTTCTGCCATGTGGGGCACCTATGCAGAGATCCTTTAACAAAAGTGCTTGTTGCTCCCTACATACATCACCCCTGTTAACTAACCCATGATTCCTTTTGAAAATAATCTTTTCAGACCATGCAAAGGGATCGGCATTCAAGGAGTAAGAGCCACGTTCACCACTGGTGCAGGGTGAAGGGAAAGTGAGGATGCCAGGGCCATCTTGTGCCAATGGAATCCAAGGGCTTCAGTCATTTCTACATCAGTAGCTTTGCTCTGACATTGCTCAGTCTTTGTAGCATCACCCTGTTTGTCTCTGGGGCGCCCCATATCATAAAAGAGGTACTCCTCAAAGGTCACTGATGGGCTCCAGTGTGTGGCTTCCTAAATACCGATCCATTGTGGCTCAACCATGTTTCAGGAGGGTGGCCTTCACATGATGTGACCATGCTGTATCAAAACAAAACACGCTTATTGTAACAACGGAGGTGGAAAGTAACGTCACACTGGGACATCTGGGATATTTTTAGGAGAAATGTCCTGTGTAAATTACAATAATAACATTATGAGCTTTTTAAGTCTGTTACAAATACGAGCATATGGTACCACAGCATGGTACTGCTCCTTGGTTAAGGTCTCTGGGCAATACTAGAATTGGCTAAAAACCAGAGAGATGTTGTTTCCTTTTTGTTCACTTTTGAAATGTTTAAACCATTTTCTTTTGGAATAAAACAAAGTGTTGGCTTGCTTCATCTCCACATCCCTCTTGGCTTTTTTTTTTTTTTTTCTAAAATTGAACGGCTTGTCACAAACATTATTGCAAACATCACTGAAAGGATTATCAAACTTTTTATTTACCCCAAATACATTTTTCAGTAGACACAGCTTTTGTAGAGACAGGTCATCCTGCTGACTTTGCTCAGGCTGCTCATGTGTGAGTTGTTAAGAAGGCCTGAGGCCCAGCCTCCTATTACTGCTGTGTCAGAAGCAGGTTTGGAGTTTCTGTAGTTGTTAAAAAAATAATTTGATTATGCTTATTGTCTTTCTGAATTCCTAAAGAAAGATCTCATTTCCATTTTACTCCACGGGTTGTTGTATCTGCTTTGTATAGGAGAAAAACAGGCTCTTAAGAATGGTTGTTTCTAGTATTAAAATACAGAAAATAAATAAATAATTTTTCTTCAGCCTTATTGCTCAGGGAAAAGGGGGAATCCTAGGTGAAAGACCTGAAAATTAATTTATTTGGGTTCTGGTTGTACAGGCATGACTCTGTTCTTCCAGCTCAATAAAATTCACCCCACATCAGTAGTTTCCACAGGTCAGTTGTAGAAATAAAGAAATGCCTTATAATTCTTTCAGAGATGGTCTTTTGACTGTGTGATATCTTCAGGAGGAAGCTCGTGCCTTCATCTCCATCACTGCAAATGCTAATCTGCTGTAAGGAGGAATCAGTCTCCAGTAGCCCAGATATATTTTTACATCACTTCTCCTCACTACAGTGTCCCCAGGATACCATATTTCTGGGTTCCTCCTCTAACAGTCCCTGGCAGATGGTGGCAAAATATCCTATCCGAGCTTCTCCAGTTTCTAGAGGTGTGTCTCACCGTGTTGTTGATTGTGGTGTCTAAAAGTTTTGATTCGCCTGTGATGTATGTTAGCCCAATTGATGTTAAATAGCATAGAGTTGCTTGTTATTTGTAAGTCAGGCTATTGGAGCCATTTATCCTGGTTTCAGCCCTTCCTAATATCCACAGGCAAAATTCCCTGTCACTGCAAAGCTGATAAAAGACTAGGTTGCTCCTCCTTCATGTTCACTCAAGGAGCCCTAAACCAGAAGAAAGTTACTGGGAGTATAGTCAAGAAGGCCTATATTTATGATTCACAGCCCAAGCATCCAGGAAGAGCTGTAATAAGACAGAAAATTGATGAGCCTTATAAAGGTTTTATACAACTAAACCCTGGAGCCTTATAACTAAATTTTGTGAAGAGTCACCTTAATTCAATGTTTACTAATGATGTCCTTCGTCTGTACTGCCTATATGTCTTCCTGTCCTGTACAGAAACAATAATAACATACTCAACAGCAAAGCAAAACAAACAGAAGAACTATGTCACTGTGGTCTTGATTATTCTCCAGGCCTGTATCTTTCCTTCTTTAATCAGTTTTTGTGAGTTTTTCTGGGAAAAAGCAACAAAATGCTACTGATTCACACCCGTTGCACTTTATACTCAGTTGACATTAATAATTGTGCAAGTGTCAGGGCTGTAGAGAATTCAGCCCCACATTCCTGCATAGGGTATCGATGGCTTATAATGGTTTGAATTGTCACACTGTGTGGTTGGATGACACTTCAAATATGAGAGTCTTTTGTTCTGCATCTGACTCAGAACATGGCTGCACCTCTTAACAGTTCCTTTCTTCACTGTGTAAGGGGACTGAACCCCTTTATGAGATCTATATAGCAAATCGATCAGATTTTATGTTCCCTGAGGATTTAATTAGAAGAACAGCTTTTCTCTCAACGATACATACATCCTTAATTAGATGATTGCACTTTAGTGCCTTCAAAATTAAGGGGAAAAAATAAAAAATGACAAAACCTGTTTATTGATAAAAGGATAATGTCAGGGCTTGGTTTTCTCAGTTTTCCTAACACTACTGTGTATTGATGTAACACCTTTGATTCAAAATTTGCCCTGCTACAATTGACAAGATAAAGAAGGCCACCATAAATAGAAAACAAAAGATCAAAACTGGCTTTCCAAGGTGGGTTATTGTTATTTGTGAGGAACCTCATGGTCCCAGACTGCTGGTCTGAAGGTGCTGCTAGTTGGGGTAGCCTAGAGGAAGATCTATGCCAGAGGGATTAACTTTACCTGATTCAGGTATCTAACAGTAGTTGTCTAAGCTTACCCTTCCCTCCTTTATAGTTGAGAGAGGAGAGAAAGGTATCTCACTACAGCATATCTCATCCTTGATGTGTACAAAAAGATAGATGCATAGCTCTTTTGAGATACCTCCAGTGGTACTGTGAGAGTTCAGGCTGACTGGTTTGTCATCATTTAATGTTCAGTGAGAAGTATGCCCTTTGCAAGGGTTAATTTTGGGGGAGGTAAGTGCCTATAGATGAGTACTGTCTAAAAACTAGATGAACAATATGCTACAGACTTTAAATTAGCATCTTCATGTCATTTTTTCCTCTCAGAGGTTCACCTTATGGCCACCCAAGGGCATGATGTTGTTCAGTTTGAGCCCTGTGTGATGATTTGGGGCAGATTGGCTTGAGTGAATATAGATCAGACCACAGCTACCATCGAGAGAGAAGGTGTCACTGAAGAACAGGGCCGAGGCACCTGATTACTAATTAATCAGACATGAGAAAAACCTCATGGAATCAGTTTCTGTTTAATTATGGAAGCCTCATTTGGCATAGGAGCATATGCTGCTAACTCAATCGAGTGCTTTCAACTGACATCAAATAGTAATTATCAGAAAGAATCAAGTTTTTTGATTATTCATACTAATTTATTGAACACTTAAAATTAATGAACCTCAGTTATTTTAAATTTGCTCAGTTGCACTGGGAGAAAAGGAGGGAGGTAGGGAAGGGACGTTCTCACAATTTGAATGTACAGAGACTTGTTTAAAGATAAAATAAGTAAATTACAATATGGCATGAGATCCAATGGGTGGGTTGATACACGTGTAGGAAAATTCCTGGTGTGTTCTGGAACTGAAGGAGATTCTGACAATGGTTTTATTTATACAATTCTTCTACCCCCCAAAAAATCTTCCAATGGTATTTTAGGGTCACCATAAGGCGTTGGGCAGTGGACAGGAGATTTATGTGTTTGGCAGAGTGTTTCTATTTTAACCTACGATTGTTCCAGTCTGGTGACTGAAAGGAAATGCCTTTATATGCCACTGGAGCTGAAGAAGAGGTAGCCTTTTAGCTGGATCTGAAGCAGTTTTCTTCTGCTCCTCTTAGTTTGATTTGCATTATCCTGGCCCTTCTCCTGCTGACAATAAACTGGCAGAAAGGTTACAACTGTGATAATTGCTTCTGACCTCTTTTCACAGCACAGAACACAGGGTCCCTGTCTTCAGACTATAAAGTCTGACTAATTAAAGCATCTCTTTTAGATACCAGATTTGGGGGAAAAAAATCAAAACCAAACTACAAAATAAAAGCTGTAATTCGCTGTTTGAGCCAGTTAATACATTATGCATTCAATGGTGTAATATTGCTTGTGTTAGTGGAACTGCTGTGGATTTATAGTGGGATAAATGAGATTCATGTTCCAGCTTAGAATTTCTGATTGTTGAATGTTTTCTTTTAGCTGTTTCTAATGAGTTGTCTTGAGACCCTCCGTATCTGTAAATTAAAATGTATTTGTTTAATCCCTTCTCAAAGTATAAAAAAGACAAAAATGAGTAGAAAGAAAATTGCATAGTTCTTAAAAAATCTGAATGTTAGAAATGTAAAATGTTTTCAGAAAATCATGTTTAGCAATTCATTTACTATATATTTTTGTTTGGTTGGTTCAGTTTGGTTAATTTGTAAGGCCTTGCTGTAATTCCCTTTAATTCTCTGTTTTCAGTCACAGGAGCTGACTTAATTCAGGTCACACTGAAAGGGAAGGAAAGAGTCCCTTTACCTACATCAGGTGCGTGACAGTCTGTTTAAAGGTTTGGTCTGGGAGACACGCTATTTCCTTTTTACTACTTTTTCAGAAATATATTGCTGTATTTCACTTCAATATTTTGTACATCTATCAACCCAACAGGGGCTCTTGGCATTCATTTAAGCATTTCATTGAGCCATATCTACCATTGCTTGTGATAAATGTGTGATTCCACATTATAAAAGACTATAAACTTTTGTTAAGAAATATCATAGGAGATCAGAAAGGTCACGGGGAATGTAAAACTAGAGTGTATTTTAGTGCTCCACAGTGATCTTAGTGTAATAGTTTGACATTACTGCACAGTTACACATTGAGTCAGACAGCATAATACACCAGAGATGAGGAAAGCCTCCAAAATTTGCTCTTAGTTTCATAGCTGCCTTGCTGTTTATTAACAGCAATAACGATTTATGTAGCAATAAAGTTTAAAGATTTTTTTTTTTTTATAGAGCATTTCCCCCTGAACAGATAAAGAAATGAAGACCAAGCCTTGAAGAGCTTAACCTGGGGTTAATTTCTGTTTCCCTATGCTGGCAACAGAGAGGTTTTTTTACTCCACGTTGTTACTGAGCGGCTTCTAGTCCACCGCATGTAGGCATGAGCTTGCCCCTATGTTTTCAATATCTAAAGAAGCCCTGCTCAGAAAGAAAAATGCCAGAATTTCCTTTAGAGTTGTAGGACAGAGGTAGGTGCTTGCAGAGGCCTCCAGAGGGAGGCCCTGTCTGCGTTAGTGTAGGGCATGCTAAACTTAGTGTGTAGGACTTCCCTGAAGGCTTCCCCTCCTCTGCTGATGGCACAGCAAAGGTAGGCAATTAATTTACATGTATAAAGACTGTTTTTTCTAAGGCTAAAAAAAAACTTGTGAGAGTTTATTACTCTTTTTATTTTTATTTTTTATTTTTTAACCTTTCCTACTTTAGCACACTCTGGGAATTCAGTCTGTTTTCTAGAGCACTGGTGGAGAAAAATGCATGAGAAGAGTTGGTGCTTTCTGGTAGAGTTATTTACCATTTTGATTACCTGGTTTTGTCACCAAGCACAGGTGACTGGCTTTTATTTTAACTTGTTCATTTTAACTTTGTGTTCAAAGTGCTCAGATCTTTGGATGGCGTAAATAAAAATAATGAAGTAGTTGTGAAGCATATGCACAAAGCGTAATATAAGCTAAGTGTGATGAGAAACCTCAAGGTTTGCTTTGTTTTGTTGGGTCCCAAAGAATTTCAATCTGTTTTTCAGATACCTTCCTGCCCTTTAGCTCCAAAAACATGGTTCTGGGAGAGATTTTTTTTTTTTTTTCTATTGTAAAATTTCTTTTAAGGATGGAAGATAACAAAAAGCAGTTACTGTTGCTTCATCGGTGACAAAAGAAGGATGTTAATACCACAGATGCTTAACTATCAAAGAAATGTTAATTCTTCCAGCTACTGAAAATGATAATTATGTCTTTCTGTGTCCTGTTTTGTAGTTCCTTCTGATGCTGTCTTGAAATGGTCGCACCCAGAGACATGGAAGGATGTAGAAAAAGGCTGGGGTGGGTTCAACTGCAGTATCCCAGGCCCAGGGGAAGATGTCATCATCTTACCTAGTAAGGAAGGGGGGGTTAATTTCTGTAGGATTTCTGGGTTCTGTCTACATTTGGATAGGTATTTGTGTCGCAATGTACATGTATGCTTCTCGGCACTGGGGTTCATTCTTATGTGTGTGGGACACCACATTTGTTCCTGGTTATGTTGGACTCTTGTCCACAGTAAAGAAGTGTGATTTTTGGAACAGAATAATAATCATTCTTTTCTGTTTACACATATATGCAAACATACACACACTCGCTCATATTGATATTCAAGCTTAATTATATGCAGGGACTACACTTCAGGAGCAGAATCACAGGTAACAAAGGTCTCATCCCTTGACATACCTTTGCATTTTGTGCAGGGGGCATACATGTATTTCACATTTCTACAGTTAGTTTTCCTTTCCTATTGCAATTCCCAGTATCAGTGATAATCTCTAGGCTGGTTTGCTGTGGATACCTTAGCCTCTATCTGTATTTTAACCTCAGAATTAAGTTATATTTAAATATTGACTCAGTTTACAGTTTTATTGCTGGATCACCCTCCTGTATTCTAGCAAAGATATTGGGCAACTTGCTGCAAAATCTGGAGCAGAAAACTTGTAATAACCATTTTACCTAATTGCTGACCCTCTCTGATCAGGAGGTTAGACTAGATGATCTCCTGAGGTCCCCTTCAGACTGAATTATCTTATGTTCCTGTGAATGCTATGCGGTATGTACTTGACATATTCTAGGACCTGGTGGTGGCTCCCGTCATTTGAGTGATGCCATAAAAGTCTGTGTGCCTACCACAGCTCCACTTCTGGAAATGGGGCTAACACTGCTCCATGCCTCTTACTCTTCCGTGGTTTTTTTTGCTTGTGAAATCTTTATGGAAAGAAGTTTCTGTTGCTTTGTGTTGGTGTTTTGATGTGGAGCCCCAGTCATAGTTTGGACTTCTCTGTCACGTGTCATTAAAAATATGTCATTGGTGTACTGAAAACCAGGCTCATAGTTTTTAGTTTTATATGTCTGGGAGCTAAGTGGTGGGAGGACAGGAAGGGAAGAGGAGGGGTCTCAGTGAAGTGTACTCAGTCTGGGGTTTCTCTTCCCACTTGCTGGGAGAGTTTGTGAGTCTGTTGACTGTTCTCTACAATGCAAGGTCTATATGTTTTTTCAGATCTTCTCTGACCAGCTAGACCTTTGCTTTCTACCATGTTCTTAAGAGCTGGAATTCGTTTGGGAGATCTTCCAGATACGAGGACAGTTGACATTATTAAGTCTCAAGTTGTGCCAGAAGATATTAGGATATTGAATATTAGGAAGAATTTCTCCATAGAGAGGGTGGTCAAGCATTTGAACAGACAGACCAGGGAAGTGGTGGAGTTCCCATCCCTGGAGGTATTTAAGATAGGTGTGGATGTGGCACTAAGGGACATGATCTAGTAATGGGACTTGGTAGGTCAAGATGATGGTCAGATGTGATAATCTTTAAGGTCTTTTCCAAACTAGGTGATTCTAAAATTCTATGATTCTGTTACTAGATCTGGAATTTATTTTATCTTCCTTATTAAGCTTCCAAAATGTGTCCTTGGCATTAAATCTCTACAAAAATAAATGGGAAAAAAGCTTATGAGTGTAGCAAGAAGTAATTCAACTTTAGAAAAGGATGATGATATGTCATGTAAGTAGGATTTTGATGCTATCACCCTGCCCCTTCACTCAGACTCTTCTATGAAGTCCATTTATTTTGGGTTGTAACTTGGATAAAAGATTTTTGTCTGAAACAGTCCCATTCTTTCAATTTCTTATAAGTTTGACTGAATTTTAGATTTACTGAAACACTTTGTGAACTTATTTTAATTTCAGCAAATGTTTCCAATTTGAAACATTATTTTGTTTTGACATATACTTATGGTTTGATTAAAAAAAAAAAAAAGCTAAAAAGACAACCAAGCAACCCCAAACCTTCTTAAGATTGAATATATAATTTCAGATTAAATTGAGAATTATGTTCAGCCTTCAATGAGTATTTAGTTCAATCTTCATTTTTCTGACAAATGTTAAGAAAAACAAACAACATAGCCTCTCCTCCCAACACACATTCATTCCGGATCATCTTGATGTTTTGTTTGTCTTTACTTTTGGGTAGTAACTTTTACATGAAGAATGATTTCCTTCTCCCAGTTAGTTTCCTATTTCCTGTCAAAAAGCACAGTGTGTTTTTTTGAGTGTTTTTAAGGTCAGAGGCCAGAGAAGCCACAGAGATGACCATGCAGGGGTGTGAGCTGCTGTAGGTCCTATGCCCTATGTGCATCAACAGTAACAGGAGGAGTCTGTTTCTAAGCATCCGAACTTGTTCCTGGTCATTCCAGTTAGCAGAGCTAGAAGAGTTACCGAGCTGATCAATGTGGATATCTGTGTGAACTGAGTTTCCCTTTAAGATTCCATGACAACATTATGCAGAAGTCCAGGGCTCTATATATTGCTTGTATGAAGATATCTAGTGTATGAAGCACTCCAGAATTGTCCTGCCTGGGCTCCAGGTGAACACCTAGATGGATACAGGTATCCCCCAAGTCATATTTGCCAGTGCCGTGGTGTAGAGGTCTCAAGAGGCATTTCAGATTGTACTAAATGCCTAAATGAATTTACTGTGGTTGGAACTCATCAGATGACTCTGGTCAGGTGCCATAAGTTGTGTCCTGAACCTCATTCAGGAGTAGCTGGAGAGAAGAACCTAACTTACTGTTAATGCGTGTCCTCTGAACCATAAAGGTCTAAGTCCCTTAATGTAAGGATGTATTTGTATGTACAGACAAAGCTAACATCCCTGCACAGGGGACTGACCGCCAGTCTCCAAAGTCCAAGTGCAACACACAAAACAGTGGACTTGCTTTTCTCTTCCAACAACAGTACTCCATCCATTCCACTGGTATTTCATGTTGAACATGAATCATGCCATTAAGAAAGAGAGAAAGTGTCCTTTCTCCCTGGTTCCTACTCCACTCTCACCTCCATTATATCTGACCCCTTATGCAGACATTAAATAGCGGTGCATTTGCTCTGTGCTTTGCTCTCCTTCTGATCCTTTTGCCATGGTTGGATTTTGCACTCCATTGTGTATTTTGTTATCCGTAGCTCTCAGAGAGCAAGGCAAGAAGACCACACCGGATCATGTTTCAACTTCTTATGTATCACATTATACCCAGGTCAAAAATCACCCCGACTTAGATCTCATGAGTGTTAAGAGACCAAAGCATTTCAGCCTTCAAAAACATAGTTGTGTGTCAGAGAGTGATATGATGAGGCACAAGAGTGTCAATGGCAGTGGTGGCCTATGTATTGACAATGAATGAATTATGTTGAGTGTGCTCAGATGATCACAGGAGGCAAATCACAATCTACACGGACACAGAAAGTAATAAATAATAATAATAATAATAAAAGCTCAGCTAAGGATTTGGAGGTTTGTTGTTTTGATTAGGTTAGGAAAGTGGAAACTGGATGATGAGGTTGTGGTAGTCCTTTGCTGCATTGCAAATTCACCTATGAACAAAACTTGTCTGTGTTTCCTGCAGAGGTGAGTGTAATCCTCTTCCTATCATATCTCATTTTAAGCTGCCACATGAGGTATTGACCAGGGCCTTTGTCACATACCACAAGGTCCTACATGACTAAGCTGTGCCTGAAGCATTGCACAGAACTGCCCCCAGCCCAGCCCAACCAATCTAGTTCTAGGACTGGAAGCAACACTGCTGCATCAGCATGCTGGTATACCAGAACTAATTAGCTCTCCTGAGAGGCAAAGCTCATTAGCCTAGGCCTGCTGCTGTGCAGCATGACCGCACAGCATTTGGGGTCAGAACAAACATCTCCCATATTTAGAGCAGTGCGGGTTTGGTCAGCTGAACTGGAGAAGTTCTGCACTGTGCTGCAGGATGTGGTGTAGTCCCTTAGCACACTGGTGTCTACTGGTTGGGAGGCAGCAGGGTAAGGGATGGAGTACTCAAAGTGATCTGTGTTTTACCGTGGACAGGAATGTTCTCAGTCTATGGGGAATCAGGGGGCCAAAAAGTTATGTTTAATCATGGCTTTTTATGGTTGTTTCCTATCCCATTTCACAGAATTGCAGAATGGCTGAGGCTGGGGGCACCCCTGGGTGTCCCTGTCCCCCCCTCTGCCCCAGCAAAGTGCCCAGCCCCATGTCCCTGGGCTCGGGGAGCTCTCCCAGAAGTAGCCCCTGGCCCCTGTCGGGGCAGCCTGTGACAGGGCTCTGGCACCCACCCAGCACAGAAATGCTGCCTGTTGTGGAACCTCTTGTGCTCGACTGGCTTGTGCAGATCCCACTAAACTCAGAATGTCTCCAGGTAGCCACAGAAAACTGAAAGTGAGCTTTTTCAAATGTTCACTGAAGATCAGGAAATGGGGATGTGTACCAACTTATTTTGTTCAGTGTTTTGTTTTGAAAGCATTGGTGGGACTTCAGAAGTTCACAGACCTCTGTACAAGGCTGAATTTTACTTGCAACAGAGGTGGATCCTTCATGTTAGAGTAACTTTTAGTGTTGGTGTGCTACAAGTCTCCGCAGTCTCTGACTCCCTGGCGGGTATAATCTCTTCCAGACCCAGCTGGAAAAATTTAGCTCAGGCTGCAGCAACTTGTGCTTTTATCTCTAGAGGTTCATCCTCCAGAGTTGCAGCCATCCCGCAAGGACTTCTTGCATGCATCAGACTTCAGCAGCCTCTCCACCTTGGAAAACAAGCTGGATGAGTTTAGTCATGCCAGTCTGGCAGCATTAGCTTCTCAAGCCCTTGGATTTTCAGGGCTTTGGTTTATGGTTTTCAGTGTGACACACTCCTGACGCAGCGCGCCTTGAGTGGAAGGAGAACGTGTTATAATTCCAGCCGATGGAATGCTGTTTTGAAGGGTATTGATATGATATCATGTAGCCTCTGGCAATTTTTTTTCTTTCTTTTCTTTTTTTTTTGTTTAGTGATGGAATTCACTCTGTTATTCATTTTCTGATTTTGATATTCTTTGAACTTTTTCTGTTTGAAGAGATGAATGCTGTAGTACTGTATCTTGTATAATAGCTCTTCTGTTGTGTCTCATTTCCATTCAATGGCATGCTATGGTGTTTTATATAGCAGTGCGGTTGATCAAAGGCATTTTGTGTCATTGCTGGAGTCATTAGCAAGTTCGCAGTGTTGTACGCCTGAATATTAAGACTGTGGCATACCTGTGAGCTTTTGTGTGGAGAAAGTGTATGGATAGTGAAATGTAGCCTCTTTTTGGGTTTGAGCTATCGTTTTCTGAAAGTGGTTGCTTGCTGTTATGTGAATGTCTTCGTAGAAGAGCCATCCAGTTTTGTCATTCTCTGAAAGTAAATCTCTTGAACTTAGGGACCTTAAGTTTATGAGTTTAACCCCTTAGTAGCCATCTCCTCTATTACATGACTGAGCATATTCTGTAAGGACTGTATTACTCATCCTGAAGTATCCTTTGAATCTCTTTGCTTTTTTTTTCAAGTGTGCAAGGAACTTTTTCTTCTGTGAAAGGAGCCTTCTGTTGTCTTTACAGAGCAACATTTCACCCTCTGAGGACTTGACACCCTGGACGTGACATCCCAAATGTTGTTCTTTTAAATAGAGGAAACCGCAGGTTTGCAGAGATCAATACGAATGGGAAAATTTCACACGACTGTGTTTCAAGGCTCACATACATGATGCTAGTTACAGAGCAGTCAGCATTTCCTTTATAAAACCCTTTTTAGAAAGATGTGCAACTCAGCAAAAATATCTGTTCTAGACTGAAACTTGACATATAAATGGTATGCCTAGGAGCACTTCTTCTTTTCCTTGTAAAAATGTTTCAGTCTGTGTTTGATGAATATACTTATGGCCTTTGTCAACTGCAGCTTTTTGCCACATTCTTGAGCTGTGATTTCACAAACTAGATTCCCCTTTCTGTCTGAAAAATATTGTTTTAACAACATCTTGCCCCTTATTCTCTTCTCTCTGTTTCATATCCTCACATACTGTGCCTCCCCTTCTCAGCTCTGCAGGGCATAGGACTCTACCTGTCCTGTAAAGAGATTATAGATGGAAGCTTCTTCATGCCTGTGAAAATATATCAAGTGCTAACAGTATGAGATTTAGGGGGAAACCAAACAAAACAAAACAAAATGTGCTTGCTCTGTAAAGACGTACTACATCTAACTGCTGTGAAAATTTTGCATGCTTGAAAGATGCCAAGGATGCAGGGAATTTCTTTTGAGATGGGGGTGTTCGTAGTCTCTATGGATTGCTTCAGTGCTTGGCACAGTCCTTGAGAACAGAGGGTGTCCCTTGAAGATATCTTGAGAGAAAGAGGAAAAAGGGAAAGGAAGAGGTGGGAAGACTGAGTTACAGGGGCAGAGTAGGACCATGTGTGGAGAAGAGACAAGCAAATTTGTAAGCAGGCTCCAGTCCCCATGATGAAGTAGTTTCCCCTCTACACACAGCTGTGAAACTTCAGGACTTCAAACCCAAAGAGCTAGGAAATGCTAATATTAAGACAGCCTGCTTATATTTTTCCAGACCCCTCCTGAATGTACTTTGTGTAGTTTTTGATTGTTTCCTGCAGACAGGGGCTTAGAAGAGTTAAACCTTCATGTCAAATGTCTTGAGTCAACCTCTAATTACACGTTTTGAGAAGGCTTTCCCTATGCTTCCTATTGTATGATCATTTGTGTCTTTGTCCAAAGTAGTTGCTAATGGCTATAGGCAGAAGTAAAACCATGAAACAACTGATACAATTCTCAAGATACTGCATGTCAATTCCTATGTTCCACACCAGAAGTGTTTCAGGTGGCCTGTTCTCACTGTTTTGCCAAAGACCATTGGAAAATGCATGTTTCTTAATCCTTCCTGCCTTATGTATCTGTGTCTCACAATAAACATAATATGATGTCAAGGAAAGTGACAGTGAATCCTTGGGTAGGATTTGGCAGCTGCCATTCTGTTGAAAATTCTCATTTTCTGTAAAGTATTTCTGTGAAAGCCACAATTAGATCCTAAACAGGACTTCTACTCCACAGAAAGACCCTGAATGATGCCCTCTTCTTCCAGGGGCATCCACTGTCTCAGAGATGCATCATATCAGGAAGCTGTTACTCTTGTTGATAATGAAAGGAGATGAACACCATGATTTAAGGGTCTGAACTTCTTTCCAGTGCAATCAACTGAAAAGCTCCCAGTGACATTAAAGATCATTAGATGTGCCCTAAGGGTGGAATTCACCTCTGTGTGGTGGGCTACCTGTAAACGATGCACTGTTTAAGTCCTTACTCATGTCCTACTTGGAAAGCTTAAGTGGTGTTTGGATGGCTCACAGACTGTGAGTTTGGATCTTTAGGAGGTGGCAGTGATGCTGTCATTGCGCTCGATCAACAACAGTCCGAAATTAACTTAACTGCATTTCAGAGATGAGCTGGCATAGGAAATCATAAATTGACCTCTGGTAATATCCAGTGCTGTAGTGTACTTTTAGTGTCGGCTTGGTCAAAGCAGGGATCAAGGAGTCTGGAAATGAGGTCAGAAGTGACTCATGCTTCTTGCTTTGTCCTCAAGGAGGTGAGGGAATGGTGCTTCTCCTGGTTTCTGTTAACCAATTAATTAATAGGGAATGCAGCATTTTTTCACTTCCTTCATTCTTGTTCTCTGCAGTTTCATGAGGGAAAAATACTGTCTGGATAGCTTAACTTATTCCTCTTTCATCGTATTAGGTGATCAAGGTTTATTTTCATAAAACAGTGCAAGGCTCACCCAGTGAGAATGTCATGTCTCCAACTTTCTGCCTTTTATATTCATTCTTATGTTCAAGTGACATTTGATGAGACTTAAGCATGCAACAATATCATTATAAATATTATGTTATTCATTTATAAGATTACAGTCATGCCATAGAGCCTCAGCTGTAGGTGAGGCTCTGGCTGTGGATGCTGCGCAAACATCCAAGCCCTGCTCCAGTAGTTCTACACACACACACACAGGAAAAAGATGTAAAGAAAGCTAAACTCAAGCACAACAAACCTTTCAAGCTTCTCCATCTCCATGCCATTGTTCTAAACAATTGTCTGCTTTGCTTCTCAGACCGAACCATCCTGGTGGACACAGATCTTCCCCCTCTGAGAGGTCTCTACGTCCTGGGGACTCTGGAGTTCCCCACCAACGCCAGCAATGTCCTGAGTGCAGCCTGTATCGTGGTGGTGGGGGGAATGCTGAAAGTGGGTAAGTGAGCAGCCTGTCTTCTGAATGCCTGGGGTTTATTTCTGCTCTCGACAGACAAAGAAGGAAGGAAGGCAGACTGTATAGTGCTATAGAAACATGCTACCATCCTAATGCAGCACAACTACCTGGGTGCCTGCAATGTGGACACTCAGAATCCACATTAACCACACAGAGATTATCTACTGGAGCTAATTACCTGTTCATTTAATAGCAACATATTGCAACTACTGCAGTCCTCATTCCTCTGAAGTCAAAACTCCTCCTGCTTTCATGGTGGCTGAGATTTCATCTGGTACATGTAAAAGTCCTCCCTACTTCACATGGGGCTGCTTTCTAAGACAGTAATTCCTCAGGGCAGGATCTACCTTATTCAGTGTTGAAGCAGTGCCCTGTGTCTGTGGGCAGTAGTGAGGACTTACTAGGTGGCACAGAGGTATTTAAAGCTAACGCAAGCAAAATGATGGAAAATCCCCCAAGTGCCTGGAAAGCCCATTGTGGTGTTAATTTGGCACAACTGGATTCAGGGCATTTGTTCTTCTCATCCCACTGTACAGGTGAGTACCAAGACTTCAGGGAGGTGCTACCCTGCCCCTACTTCTAGTGCTTTCAGAGTCCCCAATGTCACTGGGGCTGTTCCACATTATTTGGAATGGACAGGTCAGTGTTTTTCTGCACAGAAGTAATTACTCATACAATTTCCTTTAAATATTGAGGTTCCTAAAGCCAGGCATTGTATTTAGTCACAGGAATCCTTAGGACGCTGGGATCACATTGTTGATCACTGTCTGACCTTTCTCAAGATTGGTTTCATGAACTTTAAAAGGAGAATTTGTTTGTGTAATCACCCCAAGGAAGCTAGCTCCAATATTTGTTTGTTGTTAATCTCAAGGGACTGTTTAGTTAATACAGCACTGGCCAAAAGAGTTATTTTGCTGGCTTATGTTTTCCTTTGGAAAAAAAAAGAAAAAAAAAAAAAGGTTTGAAAGCTTAATCTGCGAGGTTAATATATCTATACACTTAAAAGAGTCTCAGCCATTTCTTACTTACACTCTTTTGTAGTTTAAATGTGGTTTCTTATTGGTTTTAAGAAAAAGCATGTGTTCACTGCTAAAAACACTTATTAAAAAACATTGAGGCACTTTGCTGCCTGAACTCCCCTCCAGCATATTTGTGAGTAGTCATGATATTAAAAGCCAAACAGGTATTTGCAGCTGTTGAATCATGGTCCAGCATCTTCTGGAGAGAAACCCTTGCTCTAGTTTGAGCTGTAAAGATGATAGGTGCATAGAAACTCTGCAAGTTTCCCACACTTTATATTGGCTTCTGTGTTTGCTTATGAGACCAGGAGTGAACATTTTTTTCCCTTCCTCTTTCTCTTCCCATGTGTTCAAGGCCTAAAGGTAGCTTCTTGGATCCCATCTGTCCAATCCTGACTGTTCCATGCCTGAAGGAAGGTTCTGAAGCCCATCTGTCCAATTCTACCACACCCTAAAGAAATCCTGACACAAAATAGATAATGAGACAGTTTAGTAAACAGATTTAATAGATGTGGACATCAACATTCAACATTGCCTGAGCAGGATCTGAGGTTGACATCATGTGATCCAAATCCCCAGGTCTTCCCTGTTGTGTAACATCTCCGTGCCTTGTTTTCAGCATAGCGGTCTTTGATCACATGTCATTGTTGCAAACCCAGTGGCCTGGGCCAAACAAAGACTTTCTGGCAGAGCTTGAGTATTTTGTTCACCTGAGCAGGTAGAGAATGTTGATAAGTTCCAGAAACAAATCTTTGCTTTTACTTTGGTACCCTTAAGAGCACTTGGCATCTTATATTCAGGTAAAAATAAAGAAGTCAGATGGATAAAACATGAACGCAAGCACATGGGAACTCACTGACATCAGAAATACATAACAAAGAAAAACATCAGTATAAAAATTGGATTTTTGAAGCATCAACTAGATCCTAATTAATTTTATTTAAACAGTTATTTGCAGTGAAACTGGGAGGAGAAAATACAGTCAATGCTGGGAGATCAAAACTGTTGGGACACCTTTGATCTTGGAGGGTCTGTCATCACTTCTTCAGCATATGGCATAATCTGCGGTCAGTGTGAATTATGATCAGCAGAGTCACAGGGAGATATGAGTTGATTAATGCTCTGAAAAGGATTGCAAAACCTCTGTTAGAGCCCTCAGACAACTCAGAAGAAATATTTGGGTCTATCTGCAATGTATTTTTAATGTGTGATCCTGGTTCTTCAGTGTTGTTGGACCCAGGGTGATCTGATGGTGATATTTGCAATAACGTTTTAGAAGCAACATTTATTTATACCTTCCTGCATTGCCATGCCTTAAAACAATTAGATATTTTTCCAGTTTATAGCAGGAGGGATTAAGGTGCAGAGAGATTAAGTGATTTGCTAAATATCCTCAGCACACCAGTATCAGAAAAAAAAAGGAAATGCTGAGCTCAGCATCCCAGAGGTTCTTTTTTGGATCTATGCTAAGATGGTTGTATTCATTTTAACGCATGTCAGCAATAAGTCACAGACAGTATGCATGGAAAGTGCTCTCTTCCACTGCTGAACAAAGCTCTCAGCTCCTGATAAGTCTGCAGAAAATGCTGAAATTCCTTTTGCACAAATTGATCTGTTGGGCTCATCCTGATCTTGGCTGCGCTCAGCCATTCTTTGCTGGCAGTGCTGGCAGGTTCTTTTTGCTTTTTATAGTAGAACCTGCTAAGTAATTATCCAGATAGGATTTCTTTTTTCAGTCTCAACATGTCACATTCCTTCATTCCCTTTTTTTTTTTTTTGATATTTTGTAATGGCTGCTTGTCAGTCTTGTCACTCATTTGAAGCAAGAAGCCTAAGGTCATCATTAGCTCATGGCTTGATTGTCTGTAGATGAAACCCCAGACATTTCTGATATTTCTTATCAAGCTTGTGGAAAGAGAACTCTAACAGATTCACTCCACTTTATTTATTTGTTTGTTTATTTATTTATTTATTTATTTATTTATTTATTTATAGAACTAGTAAGAACCCCCAAACTTAATTCCCAAAGGGTAAATCACTGTGCTTCATGTGCTAATTATGATTAATGCTCAGCCTCATAATGACAACCGAGGCACAAATAAGTCTTGCCACAGACTTCTTCCTCCAAGTTCTCTAATACCTTTAGTTGTGTGAGTCCCGGATTCTTTAGTTGTAGGCTTGGAGTCCCATCTTGTAGTCGCACATCACACCTGTGCGGATGCACAAACTTTTTCATCCCACATAACAGAAAAAGGGTTTTGAGAAGTTCATTGCACTATCTTCATCTCCTTCAATTCGTCTCTCAGTTTCCATCTGTTTGGTCTTTCCTCTTTTCATGCCATTGGTTTCTTCAAACTGTAGTATTTTAGTACTGACTGAAAAAATATTATAGTATCATCTAGGGAAGGAATTTGGTTTATGTGCTTAGGGCACTAACATTTAGGTGTTGCATGTGAACATCAGGATGTTATCTGGGTTTTCCAGTGGGACTGCCCAATACAGTGAACTAGAACAAACTACGGTCTAAGCTGGATTGTCTGATCTCAGATACCTAGAGAAAGAGGATTCACCTACATGAAGAAACTAAAATGCAGCTATATGAATCTTCCTGAGAACATGGTTCAGTTGCCTAAATATGGGCAATTTGGATCACTTAGGGCACACTAAGGTGGCCTCCAGCTTCTGCTTAAAAAGGCACCGTTCTCTTATTGATCATATATATCATCCTCATGTACTGGATTTGGAGTGGGCTAGGGCTCTCAGATGGCATTAAGAATCCGTATCTAAGCAGCTGAATCTCATCCTATGTGTCTCACATTCCTTGGACAAACATCCCTCATTTCTTGCTGCTGGCTCCAGCTCTCCAGCTCCACAGCTGTGTGTCTCTTATCTCTTTCTTTTGTTTGGCAGCATCATCTATAAGAGGCAACAATGTGATGCCTGCCCTTTTACAGCTGCTTTGCAGAGACACCTGAAGGAACAGATGGGGAAAGATAACCAACAATGTGTGACTGGCTGTGCACTGACCATGAATAAAAGTCCTTCATACTTTCTGGTGACTACACACCACGATTTTCAAAATAGCTGAGCAGGTAGAGTCCAAGAGGTTTTGGATTCAAAAAATACAGAGCTTATATTGGAGGTGGTCACAGCATGATACTTCGCAAAGTCTATTTACCAATGGAAGGGAGGGAATCTTATCTCAGAGACTTCTTACACACAACAGCTGTTGTAGTGTGCTATGTTGTAAATAAAAGAAAGGTTAGAAGGGAGGAAACACCCACTATTCTAAGAAAGAAACGAATAGGATTTGCTATGGAAAAAAGAAAAAAGGAAAAAAAAAAAAACACATAAAAAAAACACACCAAAAACTGTCAGGAAGAACATCTGGAATCAAAGTGAAATATGAAAACAATGGAAAATGCTTTTGAAACCCAGTAGAAAACTAGATCCAGACTGCAGTCCAGAATAAGTGAAAATCTTAGTAGAAAAAATACAGCCCTCTGTTCTCCCTTAATTATTAATATTTTTTTCCTGTTTTCATATAATGCGTTTTAACCTTCTCCAGAGGTTAGGCCTGAGGAAGGAGTATGAATGAGCTGCAACCATTGTGCCAACAGAACTGTGTCTCAGTCCAGGCAGTAGGGCTTCACACTTCTTCAGGAAAGTATATAAACTGTAGTGACTTTATCAGCAGTGTAAGTTACTTCTCATACATGGGATTATCACGTATTTATTTTTGCACTGTGTATTGCCAATACTTGCTTGAAGAACCTCAGTTTAGACACCCTTCACAGAAGTTCACACATCTGCAGTGAGGACATTTGATGTGACATCAGACAGCAGAGAGACAGTGAAGGCACACAGAAACTGTGCAGTGACTCATTAAGGTTGGAAAAGCCCTCCGAGATCATCTGGTCCAACCATCCCCCTGCCACCAATGTCACTCACTAAACCATGTCCCTAAGCATCACGTCCAACCTTTCTTTAAACACCCCCAGGGATGGTGACTCCACCACCTCCCAGGGCAAACTATTCCAATGCCTGACTACCTCTGAGAAGACAGCTCAGCTCCTATGCACCAACAGATTGACTTCTGTCTTGCACTGAAGTGCCTGAGATATATGAAGTGAACAAATTACTGCTCAGGAGCTCTGCCCAGGCTGGCACATAAGTGTCAAATCAACAGATGAGCAAACCCTTCAAATTCCAAGTAACCCAGCTGCAAAAAGATGCATGTTTGAGAACAGCTTTCAGCATACACAGACATTATTCCCTCCTAACCTTTTCTGCACATCTCACCAGACACTTCTGGCAGCTGCTGGTCACAATTACCTTTTTCCTACTTCTCTGCCAGCTATGCTTTATCTTCTCACCTTATGATGAACCAGGCTGTTCATTAAATTGGTAAACCTACTTGTAGTAGGAATAGGAAATGGGCTCCATTGCTGTGCATCTCACGTGCAGGATGGGTAATTTGAGAGTTTGATGTGATTTTATGGAAGGCTTGTTCATCAAAATAAAGTGGGACAAGTGACTTGAAGTTTTCACATCCAGAGTTCAAAGACAGGCACTTAAACCCAGATCCTTCACATGTGTGCAGCAGAGATGGTGAGTCCTTTGTTTATAGCAACTTGGTAATTTTACCAAAACTGCTTATTACAAAAGTTGTGATTTCATATGACAGTTATTTCATATGGTAATGAAAGTTATCTGGTCCAATAGCTTTTGTGCATTATCTGTTTTGATAACAATTATCTATTGTCCTTTCAGTAAGCTGAGGTAGGTATCATTTCCATGTCTTCATTTTCATGAGCCATTCTTTTGGACTCTACTTAGATTAAGCTAAAGTACATTTCTCTGACCTTACTCATTTTTTTTGGATTATCTTTATTTTCCCTAGTTTTCTTTCACTCTTCATTCATTTACATGGACATCATTACCTTTTCAAGACCCATTTTACTCTATTTTGAACATTCTTCAGTTTCTCCCCTAAATGCTTCACTTTCAAATTATTTCTGTATTGGCTGACCCTTCTCTATCTTTTTCTCTGTTTGTGGCAATTTATCTTCCAATATTTTGAGACATGTTTAGGTCATTGATAAAATGTCATGTACCACAGGGCTTGCAAGACCAGACCAGACACTGACCTGGAGTTATAGCCCCTATGTCTATCGGTCAGCCTGGAAATTAACATGCCATGTTCTTGTTGTACCTGTGTAGGCTGTTAATCACAAAGTCTTGTGCTACTAAGTCAAATGCCTTGGAGAAGCCGATTATATCATATCAGCTATTATCTTTATCAAGTAAACCTGTAATTTCATTAGAATGTGATAACAAGGAAGTTTCACAGGACCTATTTTCTATAAAACCACGTTGATTGGCATTAATTATATCATCCACCTTTAATGATTTATTAATTGTGTTCAAAGTTGGACATTCCATTTTTATTTATTTTTCCTCTAGAATCAGTGTTGAGTTGACAGGGCTGTAATTACCTGCAGTTCTTACTTTTATCTTTGGAATATTGGCACAATATTAGGTTCCTTCAAGTTCTTTGAGACATTATGAGTGATCCAAACTTACTGAAAAATCTATTTTAGTAGTTCAATGCATTTCTGAGCTAACTCTTTTGCAGCACTTGTATGCAAGTTCTTAAATTCACTGACTTAACACAATTGAGCGATTAATGGAAATAAGCAAGTATTAGGATTATTTTTGTTCCAAATTTACTTAAAGCAAGTCTTTTTTCTAATCATAGATATCTCCCGTGTTCATTTGTGTGATACACTATTTTCAGTTTCCAGGCAATGAAGAATTTCTATGAATGTTTTCTTCTCCTTTCGGGATTTCTTTTCTAAGGTTTAATATGGTGATGAGCTGTTATGAATAGTTTTATATTAGCTGCTTTGTTTCTCTCTCTGATTTTAGAGAGAGAGAGGGAGAGAAAGTGAGAGATTTTAATAAAGTCAACGTTCTCTAAAATGCCATGCTTTTTAGGATTAAAAAAAATCACAAATTTTTGCTAAGTGTACATGTGTCTCTTTTAGGGATTCATAAGTTCCAAGACAAGAATTTAGAATTCACATTTCCAAACAGATCTCTGTGATTGTTAAGCCTGGAAGCCTACTTAAAAATTGTTTTAAAATTGAGCTGAGTTGGATATATCATATAGCTTTTTTTTTTTTTTTTTTTTTTTTTTAAATTGACTTAAGTAGAAGAAATATTAAAGGCTTTGTAACCAGCAGTAAAATAATAACACCAATAATAACACAAATAGTAATTCATAATGATAATAATAATCCCCTATTTTAAAGGGACATCATTGTTATAGGAAAAGGTATTTGTGAATAACTTTGTAACTTCAATATAAAGTTCTCTAAATATTTTTTGTTGAGTCTTTTTTGGGTCGTCAGTGTAGCTGATCACTTCATCCCAGGGGGTGAGGTTGACCTGAGGACTGGGGAAGATATCTTCAGGCTTAGTATTTTAAATCACAACTTGCTGTGAGGGTGAAGCAGGAAAACAATCACTCAGAGTACAAAAATAGACACAAATGTCAATGTAATTCTTCTGCAGTTCTAGCTGGATATTTGTTTAACCTAGTGCACCAGTGGTAAAAGTGCTTGTCACTAAGTTTTCTTTTCTGAAACTAGTATTAGTTATGGGAGTTTAAGCAAGAAAGTCAAAACCAGAAAGCCAAAGATGGGTGATGGATGCTGTAAGACTGAAGTCCCTCCATGTCCCCATAGAAGAAATGAACTCACTGGTATGAGACGTATTAGATGGGGAGCACGCAAGTTTTGTACTCGTGATCTTTTATCCATTTAAAAGCTGTAAAGAGAATTTAAATACCTGCAGATATCAATCAGACAGTGGTGGAGAACAATGAATTTATTTCTTGATTTCACTTAACTAAAATTCTCTTAAAGAGGAATATTTCTTCAGGATATAAAATCAACTCTCTTTTCCAAACTAGTAATTTTTAAATATTAAAAGAACATGACAGGCCAGCTAATTTTGTACAGATATGTATATATTTTTTAGTTCTACATCTGCTGCAGTTTTCTGTTGCATAATTGATTTAATCTCTAATTTTAAAGGAATGCTGAACTCTTTTACTGGACTCCGCATACATTTCTCCAGGGCAAAAACTGCCCTACTTTTTCCTCACTAGTATCTGTTTAGTGCTGGGCCATTTTCTTCTGAAACTGTAAACTACCCTTGGTGAAATAAATGAAGTCACAGTTGGAATACAGTTTACTGTACAGACTTATCACAAGATAAGAGCAACATCACACACACCAAAACTTCTTGGGCATTTTCTCTTCCCCTGCTCTAATAAAATCTTTCAATTGGTTTAAAAGACTGCTTTATCCATCCTGGCAGCAGAATGGGAACAGTTATCTGGGAAGGGGTGAAATTACAACTGAGCAGAAAGGCAAAGATGGGTGGAGGAAGGAAATGCTTGTTCAGTGATTAGCAGAATGAATAAGAACATCCTGTCATTTTACACACTTGTTGCATGACCTTGGGCAAACCCTTCTGGGACTCTTAATTTGAATTTAGGGCACATTCCCATTCCCTCGTAATTTAAGAATGAACTGAAATATCTGAGTTTGGAGCAGTCTCTCTAGGCTACCTTCAAAGTCAATGACGAGGCAGTCACTTCCAGGGGGCAAGGCAGGCTGTATAAGATGTGTGCAAGTCACTGAACGAAGGAACTTTCATTTCTCTCTGTTGACTCCAAGGAGAACCTGGAGCTAAGTTAAGGGGTGTGGGTGAAATATTTCCACACTGAGCCAATGCTGGCATTCACAGAATTCAACTCAGCTTCAGGAGGGACCTATGGCATGGAGCAAAGTGCATGGGGACCATTTCCATGAGATAACAGAGAGGGCCATTTCAGCATAACAGATATCACCAATACCTCTGTGTCAGTTGTTGCTGTTTTGTCTTTATTTCAGGTTCTTTTCAACATCCTCTAAAACAGGATTTAAAGCTACTGATCCTTCTTCGGGCATCTGAAGGGATTTACTGTGATCGTCTGGAGGAAATAAATGTCCATCCAGGGAGTATTGGTATGAGACACGGGTTTAATTTTTTTATGGGATAACAATCTTAGGCAATTGTTTGGTATAATTTTTCTACAGAAAAAAAAAATATCTAAGAAAGGTACACATTTTTTTTGAGCTAAACCTGGTAATTTTTGCTAGGTCGGTTCCTAGAGTTTCTGTGGAGATTTTGTTTAGGCAAATAAGCAACAAGATGTCAGGTTCTGAGGTATTTATATGAGAAACCAGAGAGGACTTAAAAGGAGTAACACATACGCACGAGGATTTGGGACAGGTCTTGACCTATCAGTGGTTAGGTTTGAGGTATGAGATTTGTAAAGGGTAGTTGTCAACAAATTAAAATGACCTTACAGAGTGGAGAGAAGTGTGTGCTGGAAGATGGTGTTTTGTCTCATTTATCTTTGATCTCTCTTAGGATAAAACAAATTACCCTAAAAGTTTTCAGCCTAGGCTGATAAGTGTAAACTCACATTGTTTATTTTAAAATTCATGACTGAAGTGAGATGAATTACATCCAAGAGCTACTGGCTGGATCCAAATACATGCATTTAAATACTTCTAAACATTTGGATCCATAGGATTGACAAAAGAAGGTTCATGTTTGAATTTTAGATCTTCTCAGATGATGAGAGTTAAAGAAGTTATCAATACTTGCCACAGTCTTCTTTTGGACTATAGTGACACAAGATGTCATGGAAAAAAGCAGGACATTAGCTCAAGCAGTTAAATGGGGCCTTTCAAACACTTGAAGCATAACTGAGGGGTTAGCATTAGAGATGCAGAACAGATTTTGAATTGACTGGGTCAGTGAATTGAAACAAAAAAATTCAATGCATAATATCAGAATTTTTCATACTTCACTTTCTATTTCAAGTGGAAGTTATGTGCTGTTCTTAATATAGAAAATAAAATATAGAAACGTGTTTTAATATATAGAGAGGTATCAATATATTTAGCTATTCAGTTAATCTAAATAATTTCTCTAATTATTTCTCTAATTTTTACTCTTCTGCTTCTGTTTTGGAAGGGGTTTATGGAAAGGTGCAAATTTATAGTGGTTATCCTGGGAAGTCTTGGACACATCTTGGAGGTAACGTTGCTCCTGGCAATGACAGGTAATATTTTGCCCAAATATTATTCCAAACACAAAGATTGGGCTCCCATTCCAGTGGCTTATACTAATATTACTCTTTTCCTTCTGACAGGTACTGTTTAAACTATATCTAGATAGAAGAACAACTATATTATATCATGCAAGAAAAATTATACTATTTTTAGTTCCAGTTCTAAAGAATAAGGAAGCTAAGATTTTCCTCTTTCCTCTGTCTTTCCTTCCTTGCTTCCTTCTGTCTTTCCATCCTTCTTTCCTCTCTCCTTCCCTTCTTCCCTGCCTCCCTCTCCCTTTCTCTTTCTTTTTGGAAGAATCCAAAATGACTGATACCTTGATAATTAAGGTGTCCCTTTTGGTTTGAGACCTATATTCAAATTTCGTCTATGAATTAGGCAAAACTGGGATATGAACCATGATCTTCAACGTCTTTGATCAGCACTTTAAGAAGTGGTGTCTGCAGTAGACATCCTATTTTCTGCTATTGGAGTCAATCTTTTCTGTATAGATCATTAATTGTCTCAGAGAACATAAGATTGCCTGCACTGCCCGAAGAGTAAGGTATTTGTCTGGGATGTGAAACTTTCAAGGTATAGACACATTTTCACTTAACACTTAGCATTTTTTAAATTCCTACCTTCTCTCTCCCCTGTTGCTGCCCCTCCATAACCTTTTACAGCTCCTCCAGCAGACCTAACTACACGAGCACTTACCTATGACTTCAGTCTGAAGGCTTATTCAAAACCACCTCCTAAGGCAGGTTAAATAGAGTTACCACAGCTGCTTGTTAGGTTGGCTACATCTTGAAGTTCAAACTTTTGACCTGAATATATGAACGTCTGTATAGGGATCTCTTCTGTAAGTTCCCTGACCACTGTTAGCCCATGTAGCATGGGCATGTACCTCTCTCTCTGGAGCTCTAATTCTGGATTCTGTCTTACATGAAATTTTCATCACCTTTTGCTGTAACTCTTCCAAATGCTTCATTTTAAACTGAAATGCATATATTCAAAGAAAAAAAATCTAACAGTTAGGCCTAAGAAAAACTCATTGGAGGAGAGGAGAGGAGAGGAGAGGAGAGGAGAGGAGAGGAGAGGAGAGGAGAGGAGAGGAGAGGAGAGGAGAGGAGAGGAGAGGAGAGGAGAGGAGAGGAGAGGAGAGGAGAGGAGAGGAGAGGAGAGGAGAGGAGAGGAGAGGAGAGGAGAGGAGAGGAGAGGCGAGGCGAGGAGAGGAGAGGAGAGGAAGCTATTTTTTATGAAAAATCTTGGCCACAGATTTATTTATTTTTTTTTCAGAAACTAATACTATTAGCCAGTTAAGAGTTAATGTGGTTAGATACAGGAAATAGGCAAGTCAGTCCTAGAATAGCTGAAGAAAATGGCTCTTCTATTGACTGAGAGAAGTTGTTGCATATATTTTCCAATATGAGTCAGCACACGAGTAAAGGAAGTATTTATGCTTACAAAAAGAAATACTTTTTTTTTTTTTTTTTTGTTACTTGCAGTGAAAAACTATATTAATATTTCAGCAGATGAGCATTTTGACAGTGTATCATACAAACCATACTTTCTCTTGCTTACTGATTCCTCTTATGAGACTTGTTTGAAGTGCAAGAGTTAAGAGTTAAGTTTGGGTCCAGAAGAGATAAATTAGAATTGGACTGTTTGTCTGGGACTGGACTTAAGATTCAGCTAATAATATGTGTTGCAAGTGAACTGTCAAAAACCTTAAACTTAAGCCCTATTCTTGTTACTCTGTTTTGTTTTGCTTCCTCCTTGACAGTGAATTTATCCTTAAAAAGTACATAGCTCTGAGTCAAAGTAACACTTTCCTGCCCTTTCAGAAGCTGTCCAGTGCTACCTCCAAGCACAAAAGACTTCTCTATGGAGTGTTCAGAGGTGCAGAAAACTGGAAGTATTCATCTTGAGCCTACTTATCTTTGAAAATGACTGTGACAAGAGACATCAAGAAAACCTGGCAATGTAGCTTGCTAATTACATCCCACTAGGCCTTTCCTTTCTCTCTATACTTCCATTACATCTGACTGCATGATGAGTCATGCAAGATTCTCTGAATTCTTTCAGTGGTCTGTTATATCAGCAATTAGCTGAGTATAGCTCATCACCTGGCCAGCACTGATCACTGTATAATAGTACCCTTTGGTGGGTATTTGGGTATTTATCATATATATATATATATATATATATATATATATATATATATATATATACGGATCATTACCAATTTTGCTTTCATTAAGTGCTTTTCCTTTCTCTATGAAACGCTCATCTGGTACCTTTGAGCTCATCTGAGATGCCTTTGAATCCCTTCCCTGGCTTCCATCTGTCCCTTCAGGAATGCTCCATGAGCTACTCCTGTCAAGTCTGCTAGCCTAGTTCTTAGATATCTTGGGACAGTTCAATCAACAACAGGTTGCTCATGTTTAGGCAATCAAATGCTGCCCTATGTGTCCAATACAGAGGAAGCTGGATCACGTTTCACCTGTTATTGGCTGTACTGGTTAGGTCTTTATCAACTACAGTGGAAGCTTAACTGCTAGTAGTGCACATGCACACATCTACAGATGGACACCTACATTTTGGTGTCTAGGTCCAGAGATGACTTTCAGCATTCAGAGAGCAAATAATCTGTTTAAAGTTAGGAGAAAAAAAAATATGTTTTCTAGATGCAGGTGTCTAGTATTATTACAGAATCATAGAACTGTCAAGGTTGGAAGAGACCTCCAAGATCACTGAGTCCAACCTCTGACCTAATGCTAACCAGTCCTACATTAAACTATATCACTAAGCTCTACATCTAAACGTCTTTTAAAGACCTCCAGGGATGGTGACTCCACCACTTCCCTGGGCAGCCCATTCTAATGCCCAACAACCCTCTCAGTAAAGAAGTTCTTCCTAACATCCAACCTAAACCTCCCCTGGTGCAATTTTAGCCCATTCCCCCTCGTCCTGTCACCAGGCACATGGGAGAACAGACCAACCCCCACCTCTCTACAGCCTCCTTTAATGTGCCTATAGAGAGCAGTAAGGTCACCCCTGAGCTTCCTTTTCTCTAGGCTGAACAATCCCAGCTCCCTCAGTCGCTCCTTATAAGACTTGTTCTCCAGACCCGTCACCAGCTTCGTTGCCCTTCTCTGGACTCGCTCGAGCACCTCGATAACCTTCTTGTAGTGAGGGGCCCAAAACTGAACACAGTACTCGAGGTGCGGCCTCACCAGAGCCGAGTACAGGGGGACAATCACTTCCCTAGCCCTGCTGGCCACACTGCTTCTTATACAAGCCAGGATGCTGTTGGCCTTCTTGGCCACCTGAGCACAGTGGTGGTTCATATTCATCCAACTATCAACCAATACTCCCAGGTCCTTCTCTACCAGGCAGCTTTCCAACCACTCATCTCCCAGCCTGTAGCACTGCTTGGGGTTATTGTGCCCCAGGTGCAGAACCTGGCACTTGGCTTTGTTGAACATCATACAGTTGGCCTCAGCCCATTGGTGCAGCCTATCCAGATCCTCCTGCAGACCCTATTATGAATGACCTGGGATGTGTGCAAAATGTACATATCAATGGCAAATAGAACCTAGAAAAATGTTTTTTTTTTTTTTTTTTTTTGTGTGGGTTTTTTTTTTTTTGGTTTTGTTTTGTTTGTTTTGTTTTGTTTTGTTTTCTTTCAGACCTGTAGATGGAAACCAAGTAGGATATCCCTGTCACTGAAAATGGTCTGACACATATTTGGTAGGAAACATACTTGAGCCCTGTATCAATATGAGATACCTTGGTAACCAGTGGTATAAAACAGGCATTTCAGGATGAATTTTATCCTACATATTTCAGGCATTCATTTTTGGATGCAGCAAGCCTTAAAGCATTTTTCCTAGAGCATAGCCTGAAGATTCTTTCTGAGATCTGCCTTGGAAAAGCTGTTGTCCATTTTTTAGGAAATCTGTGAGCATAATTCATAATGCAATAACATTGATTTAATATCTTGGCATTACAGGATTTTGGTGGAAGATGAAGTGGACTGGAGTCCTGGTGGAGATATTGTTGTCAGCTCTTCTTCCTATGAAGCTCATCAAGCTGAAGTAGTTACACTTAAAGAAGTCAATGGTCGTAGCATAGCACTCCATGAACGCCTCCTCCACAGGCATATTGGTAAGAAACATATCTTTCTGTTTGAGAGTTTTCTTCTGAAGCATGGACCTTCTGTCTCAGATCTCACCAAGATCAGTTTTACTTTATTGATGCATATTCATTTCTTTATCTGCATGCTTTTTTTCTTGCTATATTGATACTGCAAAACTGATGGTAAAAATTGCAGTGAACAGTTGATTCTAACAAGAACATCTTGAAAGAGAGTCAATCCAGTGCTTAATACTTTTGATCCTGGTGTTTCATGTGTTAATTAGAGCTAGTTAACACAGAGATAACTAAAAATTTAGCGGAAAAGTTTGTTTTTTTTTAATTAAAAAAAAATGTCATTTACACTATTTTCATGCTGTGTCAGAAACTGAAAAATTCACAACATTGCCCTTTTTCATATTGCAAAACGATATTTTTGGAGTTTCAATTAAAAAATGTGATTGTGACATGAAACTAATATATTTGTTACCTAATACATAAATAGATTTACAATCGTTGTATTATGATCACAGAGAGATACCTTTATTACTTCACCTATCATAGCTCTACTTATTGTGTAAATTATAGGAGACCTATATTTAACTGGAAAAAAAGAGATGCACTGTTAATAATTTATTTTATTTTATTTTAGCCTACCAGGTAAAATTATTACTTTCTATGTAGTAAAAATAAAAGAATTAAAATTAACAGATCAAATTCTGAGGCCTTAAACCCAGGATTTTTAAGGTGTTATTTTTAAATTTACTCTGTTTGAGCTAGTAGCTGGAGAAGTATGATCAATGAAAAGGTTTAGAAATATTGTATGTTTTAAGTGGTTATAGCTACTCCATTAAATTAAGCATTACTTGGGACTGTGCTGTGTTCTACTATTGTTCATATTTGTACTTGACAATAGCCTCCATGGCAGTTTCATATGACAATTGTGTTTTTGCAAAAAATGAAGTTCAAAGATGTCTAGGCCCTGTTTTCAGTAGTTAGGGCATGGCCTTCCTTTTTGTGGAGGGAGGAAGCTTGCCAGTTGGTCTCAGTCCAGAGGACAATTCTTAGCTTATTTATTTCACTAAGGTAGATATAGCAAGTATATCCTGAGATGAAATGACTACATACAAAAATTGCCTGCTATTATATGCCTGAGTGCTGTCTAAATGGGCATTATTCTTAAGCTGTTCTTAGTTCTTGAGTACTGCTGTAGTTATTAGACATCATAACAAAAAAAAAAAGGGGAGGGGACTGACAGAAGAATTAAGAGCAGCAGAAATACTGGGATTCACCTAGGCAAAAATAGATTTGTAGAGTAAATGTTCATGTCATTGAATATGTGACATGTGTCAAAGCAGAAAAATAGGTACCACTCGTTTATATTTTCTTCTCCCATTAAAGCAGGTGTATAAAATAGATAATGGATTACACTTGAGAATTGACTCTTTCTCTCCATTGTACATAAAAGTATTTTGGTTAACTCAATTAAATCTGGAGATACTGAAAGTCACCAAAGGTGAATTCCGGGCTAGATACCTGCATAGGCTCTCTCAAAGGATTCATTTAGCAAGACTTAGTTTTAGAAAATACCTGAAACCAGATGTCTGTAGGAAATTGCTTTTTAATGCTGTCATTGGTCTGATTCTAACAAGAATTCATGGAGATAAGCTCTGTAGTGTATCTGTACTGAAGAATATCTCCTGCACATCTAGCTTAAAAAATTAAGTGTGAATCTGTTCATTGATTTGGCATCTCCACACCGCAGGGAAAAGATTGAGCACCTTCTTTTTCTAAAAACAAAATATGTTGGTAAAATATAAGAGCATGGTGAATATTTGATAGGCAGGTGGCCTTTCTGTTTTAGTGTTGATGCACGTAGATGGTGCTGGAGGAAAAACCCACCTGAATGTCAGTGCAGATTCTGCAGAGATGCTGTGCATAAGCTGTCAGGCTGGATATTCCCCAAAGCAGTGGTTTATAGGTATGATAGACACTTATCACATTTTGTCTCTTGAAACTCCCCAGGCCATTTTCATGACACAGAAGACAGTAGACGCATCCGCTTGGCAGCAGAGGTTGGACTCCTAACACGGAACATACAGATCAAGTCTGATTTGGCTTGCACTGGGAGGATGCTGGTGGGACATTTTATGGATTCCAGTGGGAGAGAGTTTGAAGGTAGTAGCAATTTACCTATCCTCATCAACCAGACCAGTTCTGCCCAAGAAGAGCTGTTTAACAGAAGATGTATCCATTGGCATGTGCTTTGCAACAGGTCTAAGCAAACTGTCTCTGTGTGACATGCATGAAACATGAATATAATAATATTTCATAATAACCTTGGAATAGGTCTGGGGGTTCTGTTCTGTGGTTGGTTGTATTTTACTATAACTTTTTACATACTTATGAACAAATAGCCAATACTGGCAATACACTGACAAAGATTGCCTGCTATTATATGCCTGAATGCTGTTTAAATGGGTGTTATCCTTAAGCAGTTCTTAGGTAGTTCTGGAAGCTTCTGTTTCACTATAGTTATCTCATTACAGGTGTCCTTCAGCTCTCAAATATTGAATTTTTGAACTTTGGGCCTCCTCAACTTTCTGTCATTGAATTCAGGAACATATCCCAACAGTCCTCAGTGGTGTCATCCAGCATTCATGGTAGCTGTGGAGGTGGTATCAAAGCAATCATGAGCAACTGGATCGTGTTGCATGATAACATGGTGTTCAACACAGTTGGACCTGGCATTGATTTGGAAGGACAAAGCCATTCTCTCATCAAGAACCTTGTTATTCTGAGCAGGCAACCAGAGGGCTTGTTAAATTGGGTTGCTGGCATAAAGGTGAACCTTGCCATTGGTGTCTCCCTCTACGGCAATGTTGTGGCAGGATCTGAGCGGATTGGCTTCCATATCAGGGGCCAAGACTGTTTGCTGGATGGAGAGTATTGCAGTGAAAATGTGGCCCATTCAAATCTCCATGGAATTCATCTCTACAGGGGAGATGGTTTTCCGACCTGCACTAGAATCACAGGTTTTCTATCTTACAAGAATTATGACTACGGTATGATGTTCCACCTTGGAAGTAGCGTCGTTATAGACAATGTGGTGCTGGTGGACAACACCGTGGGTCTCATGCCAGTATTATATTGTCTCTATGCCAAGCAGTGTCACACAGGGAAAAGATTCCTGGAACTTAGAGACTCTGTCATTGTCGCAACAAGCTCAACATTTGACTGCATCAGTGACAGGATCAAGCCTCATGCAGCTGACCTAACTTCCAGAGATCGACCACCATACTACCCTCGAAGAGGCCGTGTTGGGATTTTATGGCCTACATTTACCACTATGCCCAGCCAGAGGCCAGAAAATGCATGGCACAAAATTGTTCATTGTCCAAAAGTGCTGGGACTCATGAAGCTGAAAGGTTGGTCTTCCATTTATATTGGCCAGACTATTCTGTAACTGTCTTGATTAATTTCATTTTTCCAAGGCTGAAGCTTCAGACTGTCACACTTAGCTGGACATGGACATTATGTTGGACCTGGAAATGGACATGGTAGGGAAATCCTTCTGAATGCTTCTTCAGTTGGATTCAGTTAAATACATATTACTTGGTATTTTTCACTTTCTTTATCTACTACAGTGCAATTATGTACCAATTTGTTTATTTTACCTCAGACACACCTCCTCTTCTGTGCTAATTATTTTTTCACTTGGTGTGTCTCTATGAACAGCAATTATCTCTACCTAAATAAAGATGCCAAGTTTGAGGTTAGCACACTTCCTGTAGAATTTGCATTGAACACGATGACTGTGGCTACACAGAAACAGTCATGACTTTTATTGTCATAAGGAATCATAATGTTTAAAGACTGCAAAAGAAAGATTTGCCAGTTATGGATTTTGTAGCTATAGAAGATTTCAATGCCATAGCCAACCATGTGTCACCAGCCACAGCTCATCTTATATTAAAATCTGGCAAGTGAATAAACCATCCATGGCAAGTCATCTTTAGAATAGTTCTGACTGATTCCAACAAATTAATCAATCAATCATGCTTGTGTTTCTCACTTTATATTTGATTTCATTTCCTGTGCATGTCTTAGTTTATATTAATTTAAGATATAACTTCAGGTACAGTGTATTCTAAAGCCAAATGAAAGTATAGGTTAAAGCAAATCGTCTGTTTAAAAAATGATTTTCATGTATATATGGCAGCGATTTCACATAGGAAAGGTCACAGAATGGAGCTTTTCTCTATATAATTATTGCATTTTCTCTCACTATTTTTTCTTCCTTGGTCTTTTTTTAATCTCTGGTAGATGTCACATTTACTGGTTTTACAAAGAGCTGCCATAGTGAAGACAGGGATGTCTGCATCATGTCAAATGCTGACCATTTAGGCATCATGCCCCTTATCACAGCGGAGAGATCAAGGATGTTACATGTCAATGAGAAGGACAAATTTTACTTTCATCCAGCAAGGTAATATGCTTTTTTTTTAGAACCTTTTTCAATGGTTTCTGAAAATTAAGTAAATAAATAAATAAAAATCAACAAGTGTTTCGCTACTGGAAGGAGGGCCAGGTGACATGGAAAGAATACAGGGATGCTGCTCGTGTCTGTAGGAAGAAAATTCGTGTGGCTAAAGCACACCTAGAGTTGAAGCTGGCTGTGTCTGTGAGAGAAAATAAAAAGGGTTTTTTTAGATATGTGAATGGAAAAGGAGAACTAAAGAATACATAGGGCCGCTCCTTGACAGGGAAGGTCTTCTCACAGACGATGACATGGCAAAGCAGAGACGCTTAACGCCTTCTTTGCCTCTGTCTTCAATGCCGATGATGGGCTTCGGGACCCAGGGTGCCCCGAGCTGGAGGACCGGGACGGTGGGGATGACAAACTCCCAACCGACCCTGAACGTGTGCGGGATCTGCTACTCCACCTGGATCCCTACAAGTCCATGGGTCCGGATGGGATTCATCCCCGGGTGCTGAAGGAGCTGGCGGACGTCATCGCGGAACCTCTCTCAATTATTTTTCAACGATCCTGGGAGTCTGGAGAGGTCCCGGTAGACTGGAAGCTGGCAAATGTTGTGCCGATTTTCAAGAAGGGTCAGAAAGAAGACCCTAGCAATTACAGGCCTGTCAGTCTCACATCAGTGCCTGGTAAAATCATGGAGAAGATGGTTCTCGAACGTATTGAGGCGCACCTGGGGGACAAAGCAGTCATTGGTCCAGCCAGCATGGGTTTGTGAAGGGTAGGTCCTGCCTAACTAACCTGATTTCCTTTTATGATAAGATCACCCGTATGGTAGACCAAGGGAAACCAGCTGATGTGATTTTTTTTGGACTTCAGCAAGGCTTTTGACACGGTTTCCCATAGGATCCTACTGGACAAAATGTCCACCATACAGCTAAATAAAAACATCATACGATGGGTGAGCAATTGGCTAACGGGCAGGGCCCAAAGGGTTATGGTGAATGGGGCTGCGTCAGGCTGGGCGGCGGTCACCAGTGGGGTCCCTCAAGGCTCCATTTTAGGGCCGGTACTTTTCAATATTTTTATAACGATCTGGATGTAGGAATAGAAGGCATTTTGAGCAAGTTTGCTGATGACACCAAACTTGGAGGAGTTGTGGACTCGAATGAGGGTGGAAAGGCCTTGCAGAGGGATCTGGATAGGTTGGAGAGCTGGGCGATCGCCAACCGCATGAAGTTCAATAAGAGCAAGTGCCGGGTCCTGCACCTGGGACGGGGAAACCCTGGCTGCACGTACAGACTGGGCGATGAGACGCTGGAGAGCAGCCTAGAAGAGAGGGATCTGGGGGTCGTGGTAGACAACAAGTTGAATATGAGCCGGCAGTGTGCCCTGGCAGCCAGGAGGGCCAACCGTGTCCTGGGGTGCATCAAGCACGGCATCGCTAGTAGGTCGAGGGAGGTGATTGTCCCGCTCTACTCTGCGCTGGTGCGGCCTCACCTCGAGTACTGTGTGCAGTTCTGGGCACCACAGTATAAAAAGGACATGAAACTGTTGGAGAGTGTCCAGAGGAGGGCTACGAAGATGGTGAAAGGTCTGGAGGGGAAGACGTATGAGGAACGGCTGAGGGCACTGGGCCTGTTCAGCCTGGAGAAGAGGAGGCTAAGGGGAGACCTCATCGCAGTCTACAACTTCCTCGTAAGGGGGTGTCGAGAGGCAGGAGACCTTTTCTCCATTAACACCAGCGACAGGACCCGCGGGAATGGAGTTAAGCTGAGGCAGGGGAAGTTTAGGCTGGACATCAGGAAGGGGTTCTTCACAAGAGAAGTGGTTGCACACTGAAACAGGCTCCCCAGGGAAGTGGTCACTGTTAAGGGCAATTTTTGAAGAGTTGAGGTTCAGATTCTATCAAGGTGCGTCTCCAGACCAGTCCTCTTGGATTTCTTCTCTTACTGATGTTTGTATAGCAAAACAAGGTTCATATATCCTATTTCTTAAAACTCTGTCCCAAGCATCTCTGAATTCTCAGCCTCAGGCTTCAGAAAATGTCAGGACCTTCAGCAAAAAACCCTGAGATAGGGAATGTCCTTTTGGCTGGGGAAGCAGAGCTTGATTTTTGCCTGCGAGATCAAATCAGAAATGTTGATCAGTACCAGGCAGGCTGTGAGATGTCAAATGATTGCCAGAACTGCTCCTGCCCAGGGAGAATATTAGCTGTGTGTGGAGAAACATGGAGCAGGGAGGGAGAGAGCTTCATCTCTAACCTTAAGTCACTGATGGCTGTAGCAGTTCAAACATACCACGTCCAATGGAAACCACATGCCAATTTATTTATTACAATGGGTGAACACAACATAGAGGCTATGTCAGGAAAGCCTTGAAGTAGTGAAAAAAAAAAAAAAAAAAGAAAGAAAGAAATCCAGCATGGACTCCGCTTGCCAGTCAAAAATAATTGGAGGTGTCCCACACTGCTATGTTTAGAGCCCCTCCAGCCTTCTGCTAGAATTTTTATTTTATTCTATATTTTTGCTTTTTGCTTTGGGCGTTAGTTTGTGTGTAGATTTCTGAGACCTGTCCAGCTTGTCAGCTCCCATTATGTTTCACTCTTGTATCCATCCCACAATATTATGCTATTAGTGAGCTGCTGAATACGCAGTCCACTGCAAGAGCTGGTGATTTCAAATGTGATGAATGCATGTGGATTACAGAATGTTTTCTTAGGGCTCTGGTAAACCTCCAAGGGAGATTACATCTCTCAGTGCTCCTCATGCATTATCTGCATACATTTATTTAGTCCACCTGTGCAACTGCTGTGCTGGATCCAGGCTGTGGCTGCATTGTTCTGCTATAGCACCCTGACGGGATATCTTGATGAATATCTTCTGTCAAGGAGAAGGTGAGCATTGCCTTAGAGCAAGAGAGGAAATAGAAACATCAGGGAATATGGCAAGAGCATGAAGTGCCTTGCTTTCCCACTGGTGGACCTAGCCAGCTGAAATGCTGGATCTTCTGAGGCTGAAGAATTGCACTAGCTGTCAGGATCAGAGGAACTTTCCCTGTTCTCCACATCTTTCAAGTAGTATTGATTGGAAACACTGGTCCATGTGATTCTCTTTCCTTAATATGGATCATTGCCTATTTGACTTTGCTGCACTCTTAATGTCAATAAGTGTGTTCTTCCAACTTGGTCTCAAGAAATTCTAAGTGTTCTCCAGGATTAAAGAGTATCCATGTAGCAATCTAAAAGTATTTCCATGGACTTTGCTGGAGTACAAGTCATTGTATCTCACTACATTTCTGTAATAGGAGCTATACGGCCAGTTGGCTAGCTCTCTTAAGCTGTGTTAAGCATTTAGTCAAAGACCAGTTAAAGCACTTAAGATCTCCAACAAGTTATTCTGCTCTCTAAACGTTAGTGATCAAAAGATTAGGTGTGTAATCTAAAGAGGACACTCAACTGATTTGTATTCAATAGTGATGGTTGTCTAGAAAATGATTCATCCTAACTCTCCTAGGCACATGTCTCAGGTGAGGTGAGTTCCTCTCCAACAAACTTGTCCTGCTGTAGATATCTCCCTCTGTGGAAGCCAACCTTTAATGCTATAAGCAAAAAATTACTTTTTTTTTTTTTTTTTCCTGGCAGTTTTAAATGACTATACTTATAATTTCCTTCCGAGAACATACTGATGTTAAAAGTTGAGTTTAAATCCATTTGAAAATTAGATGTAATCTGTGGAGATATGTTCTCACCCCATCCAAAAAGAACTTTGTACTGGTTTGGACTAATGCTTTGAAACTCTTTTCTTTAAAAAATAAAAAAACAAACAAACAAACAAAAACAAAACAAACAAACAAAAAACCTAGGGTTTAATTCTGTTCTTGGAACCTGAACATATCAACTTATCATTAGGAGAGAAGTAGCTACTCATTGGCTGGGAGTACTATAAGATACGCGTGACTGTGTGGTGAACATAGTTTTGAGCTTAGTTTCACCTACACTTCACTTTAAGACCATCAAAGACTGCTGGCTCCTTCTCTCATTCTTTCAGTCGTTTCACCTTACTTCATGATTTCTCCTGCATAAACTCAGTTGGTCATGGGAATGTGCAATCTTCTGGCCCTGTAGAGGGTTCCCTCTTTTTCAGGCCACAGTGCTAAGTACAAGACAAACAGGTACTACTGGGCAGCCTGTGCTTTTTATCAAAATGCTATGTAAGCACACACCAATCCGTAAACAAAAATCAATCCATCACCTGGTGGAAGTGAAGAGCAATGCCTGGGGAGCCATGGTCCCATATCAGCCCTGCACACTGCAGCAGAGGCATTCCTGGTCACTGTGTGGCAGCAGCCAACATGTTTCACTGTCACTCAGTAACTATAGATTTCATCTACCATAGGTCAAAGATTAATAGCATGTGAATACTGGTGGTCATATCACTGCTGTTCCTCAAATCAGGAAATCCAAGAGGGAACCAGAGGTACTCAAACTGCAACAGCTGGCTCCAAGGACCATGACAGCCCACATTGGCCCAAACAAACTCCAGGGAACTTGAAATTTGGGGACAGGAGTTACACTGGAAATAAAATGATTTTCTCTGTCCAAACCCAGCCAACATCTGGTGGGAGAGGATGCAGATTTGTCTCTCTTTTTTTTTTTTTTTTTTCCCTTTCTTTTTTTTTCCCCCCTTTTTTTTTTTTTTTTTTTTTTTTTTTTTTTTTTTTTTGCATACCAATATGTCAAAATACAAAGATTGCTGCAGGATTTCTTTACAGAACATGCTAGACATTGACTAGTCTGCTTAGATTTCATTCATTTTACTTTATTTTTCATTTGCTGTCTTTTCATGGGCATATGAGTTCACCTAGTAAATTTCAAGGCATCGCATATATGCACAGAAGTGTTTGTTTTCAGTGTAAATAAGTTGCAGACAACAGCACAGCACAATAATTTCTTTTTGCCTGTCTCATAATAACACTGCTTCTCCTGCCTGCCAGTGTACAGAGCTCTGAAGACACCATGTTCCCGGAAAAGAGTTGCAAAGGTTCAAGGAAGGCCCTTTTCAAGGATTTGGATGGAAGTGTCCTGGACCTGGAACCACCTGTTTCTGTTTTCCCAAAGTCCGAATTTGAATGGACACAGTTCTACTTGCAAGCTGGTAAGTGCCTGTGCTGTCTGGAGTGCTTGCACAGTCATGCATACACTTGACCCATGAGAGGTAGGTGCATCCCAGCCTTTCGTTGAGACCTGCAGCTGAGGTCTGTGGTTATGGCCCCAGACTGGGTGATGCCTTTTCAGGATGGAAGTAGTGAATTGCAGTGGCGAAGTCTAGGAGATCTCATTGCACAGGTCTGTGTCCACCAATGCCTCTCTGCCATCTCCCAGAATCATGTCACCTGGCAATCCTTATCCCCTTTAGGGTTTAATTTATTAATTTTAAGACCAGATCAGAACTTACCTGCCCTTTGCAAAATTCTCTGGAACTGTTGAGTAAAAGACGTTTAGATGTAGAGCTTAGGGATATGGTTTAGTGGGGACTGTTAGCGTTAGGTCAGAGGTTGGACTCGATGATCTTGAGGTCTCTTCCAACCTAGAAATTCTGTGATTCTGTGATTCTGTGTGAAGACTTGCCATGTAACTGCTATGGAAGTGCAAAATAATAACAATAATTGGCACAGCAAGGATTTTCATCCATGTCCCACTGAGGAGATAATCAAACTGAAAACCCACTCCAGAAGTTTAAAGACCCCTCTCTCTGGTTTAAAAGGGCCCGTTCTGCTCTGGAACCACTTTCTGAAAGTTCACACAGCAAGGCTCCGTTCTCTTTCTGATTAAAACTCTGCTCTGTGATTCCAAATAGACTCTTTAATTACAATTAGTATTTCCTGCGCCTGCTGCTGACGGCGGCCATTTTGCTGAGAAGGCGCATCATTTGTGACTCCGGCGGTATGGGAGACTGATGGAAGGGACTGTAATTAATCCTGTTTTCCATCCTTCTCTAAAACTGATTAAACATGAGAAGAACTTTAATCTTTAAACAAAATGTCTAATGTGTACCCAGTAAAGGCTTTTTCTCTAAGGATCCCACTCTAACTGGCTGCTTAGAGGGCTGATTAATATGTTGTCTAGACACAAACACACTGATTTTTATTCTACCTTTTCTGCCCTGATTATGAATTGCAAGCAAGTGCTAATATCCTATCAGTATTACCATTTAGCACGTGCATATTAATGCACACATACTTTGCATACAGAACCTATACTTTATTTAGATTCTCACCATTTTTAGCACGCCCTGGGACATAGTCATATGAGTGCCAGGAATCCCCACCATCTAAACTGCACTGACAGTGCAACCTGCACTCCACAGGGTTTATCTCCTTGTGTAATGGAGGCGACAGCATATGGTAAATGCTGCCTGCCTCCAAGGCTGTAACAAAATTGCTGTGTTTTCTTCTTGCTGCCCAAATATGAATTGGGATTTTTTTCCCCTCTCTTCACAATTTTGTGTTTAATTCCTCTGTATTTCTCATTCTGACCTGAGGTTCCTTTCATCTTGAGGCTGACATTTGGAAAGTCACAGCTTGATGCTGAGGTGAATTCATGGTCGTTGTCTTCCCTTCTCTCCCCGCTCTGTCACCCTCTTGAAAGTTGTAACACTGAATATTTTGCACATTGGTGTGCAGACTCCCATAGTAGATACCAGAAAATGCTCATCTTTCCTTCTGTGGGGCCAGATTGCCCCTCATTGTGGCAGTGCTTCAAGGCCGGGGAAGGTGGTAGCACTATTCCCAGATGATGCTGATGAGCAGGTTTTGGCCCTGGGAGTTCTGCCTTTCCTGAATCCAGATGAATGTTTGGTAGCGATGTTAACTGGGTGCTCTGCACCCACCTGCTGAGCCTTTCATCCACATCCCCACCTGGTGCCTTGTTAAACCAGAGTAATTCCAGCAACTTCTAGCAGCTTGATCAGAGCACTGCCATGCAGTGGTTATCTGCTAGCCTTGTTAAACATAAAAAGAGGGATAGTTTTTTCAGGGAGCTACACAACGTCTTTGCCACTTCCACAGTGTAGTGACATTAATTTATTTGAGACTCGACAGCTCTGGCTTAATTGCACCTTCATCCCAATTCATGAACGTATTCCCCTTAAGCTTCCAGTCTGCACAGTCAGCTTGAAACTGTTGGTCTTCAGCCATTTCGAGATATTCTGCTTACTCCAGGGGGAACAAAGCCAAAATACTCATTGTACTTCAGGGTCACAAAATCTAGTGAGACATTTTCCCTGAAGAGTTCCGTAGAAGAGAGAGGCTGTGAGAGCTGTAACAGCAGCACAGTGGATTACTCAGAATGATATTAATGTTCTTGAATCCATATGATGCCTTTAGTTGAAGACACAACTGGTAGAGAATACATATATCATTTACGTACATATGTGTCTTTGCAATAGGCCAAGGAGGGACCACGTGGCTTCCTGAGTCCTGGCTATATCATATGGGCAGTAGCAAGCTGTGTAATATATATATTTAAGCATGTAGACATTATTATTATTATTATTATTATTATTATTATTATTATTATTATTATTATTATTATTATTATTATTATTATTATTATTATTTGTCTTCCTGTGTGTCTTGTCTTTTGCCTGCTGTGTTACCTTTTGGGTCATAGACCAGGTCTGTTTATCGTGGCTATCTGTAGAAATGGACTTGTTCACATAAAGCTGAAGTTTTAATTTCCTGGAAAAAACACAGAATTCAGAAAAAAAGAGAAAAGGAAAAAAAGAAAGGAAGGAACAGATCCAAAATTGTTGTTCTTATTATTTCTGCCAGAAGAAAAAGTAACAACAACAAAAATGTGTTTGAATAAAACAAAGCTTAATTATTTATTTGTCTAAGGCTACTTTTTGTTCTTTTATTTCTTTTAGATATAATGCTGCAAAAGTTTAGGATGAAATATTTTCCAACAAAACCCCCTTAAATCATGTATGAGGAACTTTCACAGTATCATTTTTCAAATTACCCAAAACAATTTAATGAGTTTAACATGAATTTGTAGTTATTTAAATCTCTTTGAGCTGCCCTTTTTGGATGACAAAATGTTTTTCTCCCAGAACTCATCTTTATACCAAACCTCTTACAAAAGAGCTTGGGGCCAGGCCTGGAGCACTAAGTGGTATCATGATACAGGAAATACCAGAATCAGAAGCTGTACAGCAGAATTAGCTATAAACATGAGTCTAGAGGAGGAATGAAGGATAAGCGAACAGTTAATGTACTCAGCTGAATTCTGTGTCCAGGTTAAATGCCCTGCACCACCATCATTGTGTAGTTAAATCTCTAACCGTTTGCTGCTGGCTATCTGCAGTATTTATATATCTGTTATTGGACTGTGTGAGTGCCTCATGATAACATAAACCACTAACAGTTCCTGGTAGCACTGAAGTTCATTGTCTTCCCTTGGTGGAAATGTAGCTGAGGACCAGAGGATGGTAGAAAATTCGTCTGACCCCTTCTGCATACCCTCCAGTGTGATCTCTGGTGAACTAGGAGAGAATCACACTATATGGGCAGAAGCTGGTGGGCTGATACATCCTCTGCAAGGCCCCTGTGCATACCAAGAGAAGTATGGGATGGTTGAGCTTCTGGTGCAGGCAACGAGTTGAGGAAACACCTTGCTTCACAGCCAATTCACAAAGGTGTTTCGGTCATGATGCTCCCATACGGTGTGAGCCTCAGTGGAAGTAGCATATCCACCATTGTACACTCCTGAGAGATGAACCCAAATCTTTTAAGTTACAGTTTAGAGCCTGCAGACAGATACATTTTCTTAGAGCTGGCAGACACATTCTAGGCGTTTCTAAAGCAATCTGGGCTGAAAAAGCAAATCTGAATATCTGAGTAGCTGTTGTTGGATTCAGGAACATGACTCAGTGATGAAGTGACTAAGAAAAGCAGAAATGAGCTCCATGCAGCCAGAAATTGAGCATCAGTCATTTAACAACTTGTTTTATCCTCTGTGATAGGAGAGGTTTAAGATGGTGCTATAGATGGAAAAATGGGAATGTGAGAAGGGAAATGCAGAAGATAAATGGTCTCCAGAAGGGAAATGGTCTGCAATATCTAAACTTACAAAACTGTTTTTCTCCCTAGCTAGAGGGAAGAAAATGACTTTCCAAGTGAACCTAAAAGATTGCAACTTGCTATATGGGTCCTTAATCTCAACATTAAAATATTTCCCTGCACAAGCATATTAAAAAGAATATTAAACGTTAAAGCATATTAAACATTAAACATTTCCCTGCATGAGCAGGGGCTTGGACCAGATGACCTCCAGAGGTCCCTTCCAACCTCAGCCATTCTGTGATTCTGTGATCAGACTGTGAGGATTCCAGATTTCAGGGTAAAACAGCATGAAAGCAGGTTGGCATCCTGGAAAATTCCCATTCATGGAGAGAGAGATCCAACCCACAGTGATCTTGTGTAAATCCAGAAGTGAGCCCTTCCTGTTCTTACTATTCCCCTTTAGCACAGCTACAAATTTAGCCAGAAGAAAAACCTTCCTGCGTCTTGTGAAACTGTTAATTATAACTCTGTTTCCCGAAAGACTTCCATACTGGTTTCTGTACAGATACAGAAGATCCTTACATTTGCATGACAGCAATTTCTTTGCATATCCTATTTTACAACTCTGTAGCTGTTAGAGTCCCTGTTCTATTAACTTTTGGTCATCAGAGTAATTCTGATGTAGGATAAGGAAATTCAAGGCTGTAGGATTTAGCCATCATGCAACTTTTTCTCACTGTTGTTAGCACATGTGCCTTGTATGAACAACTTCCTTTCTGTGAACAGCTGCATTTATTTTCTACCTTACACTAGTAAAACCTGGCACCTCCTTTAAGTTCTCCATGTACAGTGGAAGAATCAGTGAAATTTAGGTCTGTAATACCCCTGTGGGATAGGCATGTATTTTGACACTAGTTTCCCAGGCAGAGGACAGAATTTGTGACTTGCCCAAGGTCAGTCATTGAATTAATGCATATCCTTCCAAAACCCTGACAGCCAGACTCTTAATCTAAAAGCACCCCACCCTGCTTAGGCAGGTTGAAAAGTATGGTTGCATTAACTAGAATCAGCAAAAAATATATTTTATATTCAACTTTTTATTAAGAAACATGCCTGCAGCATATTTTAGAACTTTACTGAATACTTAAATTCTGACTTTGGTTTTAAACAAAAAAAAATCTCCAACTATTTTTTATTATTTAAAAAGCTGAAGAAGTGCTGTACTGGGAAAAAAAATCTCAAGTTTAATCAGTTTTAGTGGGAATCTGTTAATGAGAATTGAGAAGATTAGTGTGATGTGAACAACTGATCTTTTTATCTGACCAGCAGATAACTCAGACTATATTTTCGTATGGTGTTTTCAATCTAGACAGATCTAAAGCTGTGAAATTTCTATACTAGTCTTGCTTGCTCTCTAGAGGTAGCCAGTACTTTTCTAGATCAAAAAGGGTAGGTATTTCATATGCAGATGCTTATCTGAAGCAGCTTGGTCAGAATTTTAGACACTTTATCTTGTCAACTGCAGTTATAGAAAACTCAAAAAGGCTGCATAACACTGAGATTAAATGTCATATATGAATACGCAGAAGTTTGCTAGATTTCATCATAAATAAGGTAAAATTAGATGTTGATGCAAACAGTCCAAAACAAATGTAAGTCATGGATAATAGGAAAGAAAAAAAAAAGAGGTAATTTTTGCTATTAAGATTCACAAATAATAGTTGTGGAGGAATATCGTTTTGACACACAGGCTGCCAATATAATTTAGGGCTAAAGCTGTGTAAAATTGTCTTTTATATATATCTTCTATACATATTTAATGTTCTAAGGAGCATGGTTAGCTATACCTGCTATGCATAGTCAAGTGTAGTAATTAAAGACATTTGAGAAGAGAATGCAGGTGCAGGTTTGGTAAATTTTCAGGGAATGAAACAGCTGCGATATTGGCCTGAAATGTTTATTGTTTTCTTCTGAATCTTTTGTTGCTGTTGTTGTTCACAGATAGAAATTTGCTTTTTCTGCAATAAATGGCCCATGCAAAATGTGTTGAAAGTGGCAATGAAGGAGATTAAAAGAGCTCTTACCAAGTTATTGTTTTATAAAAATCCAACCTAATATGATTAGAAATTACTTGTGACTTTTACTTAAATTTCCTGAAAATACAACCCTGGCTAAGACTTCAGCAGATCTTAATTAAATCGAGACCAAAGTTGAGAATAAATCATAGAATCATAGAATCATAGAATATCCCGAGCTGGAAGGGACCCGTAAGGATCATCGAGTCCAACTCCTGGCACCACACTACCCAAAATTTCAGGCCATGAGACCGTTTGCTGGAGTCCAAGTGAAAGCCTGGAGCCTGGGGCTGGACGGGCTTTTAAGAGAAGGGTCACCTGCACGCCAGGGAGCAGACAACCCCTGAGGTTTGCCTCTCTCTGAGGTTCCCAAACTGGCCTCTCCTGACTTTCCCAAACCGACTCTCCCCTGGCTTTCAGGAGACGAGCTCCCCTTTCATTTGGAGAGCACAGCGCCCACCACTAACGAAGCACAGCTCGTTACTGGCTGCACTGGGGCAGCCCAACGTCCCCGGGGTGCTGCACACAGCTGGGTCCCCAGCAGGCAGTGCTCACCGTGCGTCGTCCCTGGGCACGTCACGGGGTCACTTGTTAGTGAAGTTGGGTCCCTCGTCCTTTAGATTTGGTGGTTATTTTTGATACCCTTGGGAAAATGAACTTTAAAATAATCCAAAGGGGAGATAAATTAATCTTGTATCTGTAATAACTATATGGTGGCTCATCAAGCATGAGATGGCTGAAGCTACTGAAGTAAAGGATCAGCTCTGTTAACTGAGGGGAATATTGCAGAGTGAAGGACATCTTTGGGTGGTGAAACCACCAGTTGGGAATGAAGGCCTGCAGGGCATCTGGATGTCACCCTGGTGCTGTGCCCCAGGGGAAACCTCTGCCAAGGCAAAATACCTCTCCCCCTCCTCAGCCAGCACTTGTTGCATACTGTTGGAGGGGATGCTCTGCAAAATTAGTTTTGGAAAATCATGGAGGAATAGATCAGAACTGGAGATCTGGAAAGAGAAAACTAGGTCAGCACTGGGAACAAACAGGCCATATGACATTTTGGTTTTGAAATACTATATAATACTTTCCCTCAAACTCATCTATATCTCAGACCCTAATAAGTAGCAATTTTCCCTTTTCAGGGATGTCATCTCATTAATTCTGAAGCTAGTATATGAGATGAATGGCATCATTCATTGTCCATGGGTTCAATAGTAAATATATATATACAAGCTTGTATATATATATATATATATATATATATATATACAAATGTATGTATGTGCACAAATGTACAAACCTATCAAACATTATCTTCTTGTTCCTATGGAGAGAATCAGATGCTTTTCTCATGAGGAATCCAAAATACCTTGGGCAAATACATCCATCTATCACATTGATTGCTGTAAATGGAGTTTAACATTTTGTACCACTCTTTATGCTTCTTGTTTTTCAAAATCCTTGTGTACTTTTAAACAAACATGCACCTGTGTTCAGCTGCATAAAATGTAAAATGTGTATATACATATATCTGTATTAAGAATAATGGAATTTGGAAAAAGTGAATGTAAAAGCAGGTCCCTAAGTACAGGCAAAAACCTTGACCCTTAGATTAGCAGTCCTTTTTGAAGAGGTATCAGTGAATAGTTTCTGCCTACAATTGCAATCAGGAATCCCCAGCTTCTCCTTTTAGCTTTAATCTTTGAGGATAAAACATGAGGTTTGCGATTTCCAAACTGAACTCTTCTATTTAAGAACCTGTGTAGAAAAATGACACCATTTTTAGAGTTACTGAATTCTTGAAGAGCCCATTTGTTTGCCTGTGCATTAAAAAATAGCTCAGTGCCCCCAAAACGCCACATCACTTCCATTTAGGAATCTAGTTATGGATTTAATATCAACCTCTCTACACTTCTGTATACAAATGTTGCCCTTAACCTGTACATCAGCTTTTTTATCATTGACATAATGAGGCTACTGTTTCAGGCATTTGTTCTTAAGATGTGATTTATAAACCATTGGCGTTCGTGAAAGCTCAGTAACTGATGCACATAACACCCATAGATTAATTTAGGATCCTGACAGTTAAGGGTGACAAGAATCATTAGGCATCTGGAAAACAGAAGCTATAAGGAATGACTGAAAGAGATGAGTGGCTCAGTCAAGAGGAGAAGAGATGGATGGGAGATTCAAGCACGGCCTTCAAATACATGGGAGATTACTGCAGAGTAAAGAGGAAAAGTTGCTCCCCAAGTCTGTGGAATCCGAAATAATAGGCTGAAATTTCATCAAAGATAATTTTAGATAAGGGAAGAAATGTTATAAAAAAAGATAGTGAAAAGCTGACATAACTTGCTTGGGTGGGTTGTGGAATCCCTATCAATAGAGGTTATATAAGCATCTTTAGGTGATTCAGGTAGACCTCTGCTTGTCCTTGGGGTAAGGATGAATCAAATAATTTCAGAAGGTCTTCTCTGGCCCTATTTTTGCAGGTCTGTAAGGATTCTCTGTGGTCTGCAAGAACCTTTGTTGTCTGACAGTGATTTATTGATCTAAACACAAGGGTGTTGTAGTGGGAAGATCTGGTAATTAGGAGTTTCTAAATACTGCTGGTGAACAATAAGAGGGAGAGAAAGTGTAGAGGTTAGTGTGATGGAAAATTGTGTGCTAGGACTGAGGAGAGTTTGCAGCACCAGGGAATCAAAACTCAAGCGAGTACCTTATCTGGGATCTCTGAAGGCATGTCTCCTCAAAGCTCAGTCACTCAGACATCATGCCTTTCCTCATGATGCACTGTCTTACTCTTTATCATTTCAGTGGTGCCCACAGATCTGAGTAAGTAACTGGGTTTTATTCCTAGTACATACTACCCTGACACTTTTCAGGTACCTTCTGGAAGAAGCTTCCGATGCTGACAATCAACCCAAAAGGCTTCAGGAGAAATAGAGGAAAATGGAGAAGTGAGCTACTCTGGGTTAAGTCAACAGCTGAGTACAGCAACCTACATCATACAGCCTCTCTAGGCTTGATGGCTGCTACCTTTAAGGACACTAGATGCCTGTCTTTGTGCAATTAAAAAAGAAATGTGAATTGCATCCTGTGAGTAAAACTGTAGTATTTTCCTTAGATCTGAGAGGCATATCTATAATCCAACCAAACTGCTGAGTGTTAGCTTGCAGAGCTTTACAGGGGAAGCACTGCGTTTTGCAACAATTAATTTTGCAGAGGAAGCAGCCTGTTTAAAGACGCCTGCAGCAGTCACTAAAATATGTGTTGTTTTTCAAGGCCACCAGACACACAGTTGGCTAGGTTGGCTAATAAACAAAACAACAATGCAAAAACCCAGCCTCGTGGGGTTTGCAGGAAGAAAGGATGAGAAATAAAATGAATAATGCTTACCTGCTAGGGGTGGGTGAAGACTATAATTGTTTAGCCCCCAGCAGATCCCTGCAAGGGTTAAAAATGACAAAGATATTAGTTGGTGACTGCTAAGATTGTTGGTTTGAAGCTCTGGGCAAAACACAGACTGTTATTTACCGGACTTGGTCGATTTACTTCTTAATGCAATAATGACCTGTGAAATGAAACGTGAGCTAGACAATTGTTCCTCATTGTTTCCAGTAAAACATCCTTTCATACCCCATTAAACCACCATTAATTCCATATGAAAGAGAAGCAGGCACAAACACCAAGGGATCTCTCTCTCTTTTCCTCATTTCCTCTCTTTCTGGGCCTGATCAGGTCCTGTGGATAGCAAAACAGTTTTCTTATCAATTTTAGGAGGCATTGGGCAGGCTGCAGGGGCCATGTTTCTGAAAAGAGCAGAGCACAGGGATTTACTGGATTATCACCCAGTGGATCACCAGCTCAGGTTTTGGAGCAAAGCATATCAGCTAGCGTGGCCAATGCAATGTAGTGATGTTAATACGTCACCTTTCTCTCTTTTTCTTTTAAGATTGGATTCCTTTAAACATGAGACTTATGTGATCATGCCGTGTATATGCATATGTATGTGTGTACCATTTCCCACTCAGTCATTTTAAGCCCACTTTTGATTTCAATCAAAAGTTATAGATGAATAAGTTTTCAAGGATGATAAGACTCCTCCTCCAAAAAAAAAAAAAAAAAAGGATCTTGGAAGAGAAATCTTATCAGCGAACCCCTCAGTCCCTCAGTTTCCCCAAAGCGGGGGTAGGTTGGATCCAAGCCGTTTACCAAGAAATATTCTCTGGAAAGAAACTCCAATTTTGTGTCCCAAAACAAACTAGAAAAAGGAAATCTTCTGTACATTGGTAGATACCAAGGAATTGAGACACAGCTCTGTGATAAAGTACGAGTTCCACTTTGCATGAAACTAGTTGCTTTAACCCCTGACTCCCCTCTGCTGTAGCATGTTGAATAACTACCAAAAAATGACAATATAAAACTGAAGCATATAAGCAGTTCAGATTTCGTCTGATGATAGCCAATTAAAAAACAAACAAACAAACAAAAAAAAAAGAAGCAAGATATTCTTTCCTAATGAGAGCTCTGACATTAGGGGAAAACTAGCAAACAATCCTAATGATGGGACGTAAATGCTTCTTTTCTTCCAGAAAACATTGGTGAATAAAAGCTGAAACTGTTAACTGTTTACCTATTACCTAAAAGTAGGTTTCCCAAGAATATATTTTTTTCCATGTAAAAAAGAGAAAAGTTTATTTTAATACCTAAATATTTCAGACAAAATGTTTTTGTTTTTCTCTTTCTTCTGCCTTTTTTTTTCTTCCCCTGTGTGTATATGTCTGTGAGTTTAGTCAAAAATATTGGTTTTTATTTTTCAATAGCAATACAGAAATAAACTTCTAGAATAAGTTTTTGGCCAGCTGTAATTCACATGAACGGTTCAATAGTTGTACTTCATGATAAATTCAGCCCCGATTATATTGATGTAAAACTGGTAGAATCTCAGTCTATCTGGAGTTATAAAATCGGGATTCTAATATTTTCTCTTTTTTTGCATTAAAATTTGTTAACGGACATAAAATATTTCTGAAGGTGAGGGCTCATTTGATTTATAGACCCCAGTAAAAGTAAAAAAGGAGATACTTCGATGAGTGCAGTCTTTGAAAGGTCAGCGGAAAGTGGTGCCAAATTTTCACAGAAAGCACTGCTGAATATTTTTACAATTACCTATATTTTTCCATGTGTGTATTCTGTTGACGTCTTTTTCTTTTGTATGCTTTACTCAAGAGAAAATTCCCACTGAAGACAGTGGAGAATTTTATCTGAGCAGAGTTTGTGGAACTGAGCAACTTGTTGCCAAAGGACAGGATGCTGTGCATAACTTGTAGACCTCACTTAGGCAGGGTGTTGTGCTGGAGATGGCTATTGCTGAGAGGATTTTGGTAATGCATATTTCACACTATGTACTTATAAAGTCTCCCTGAATTCAGCACATCTGCACTGGCTGGTATGTTACATGCTGCACAAATATAGGAAAGATCTGGAGGGGGCAGAAGTGGGGGCAGCTCTGATGAAGCTCAGGATCTAGCACAGAGTTAATATTTGTCTTCATATCATCAGTAGTCATAAGCCAGGACCCACAGCCTGAGCTCTTTATTCGCTTTGCTTTTCCTTCCTTTGCTTTTTCCTTCCTTTACTCTTTCATTCCATCTGACCCATTCAAGATCTCCAGCCCCACCATGCTTGTCTGCCTCCACAAACCAGGACCCCTCATCTCCTCTGTGTCATGGGACTCCCAGACTCCTCCTGTCTCCTAACCAAATCTCTGACTCTGTACCACTTATTTCATCCTTTCTGCTGCAATTTAGCACATTGCCCACAAATCAGGGACTTAATGCCAAACCTCTTACCTCCACAGCCTTCCCAACCATCAACCAGTCCCCTTTGTGCCTTAGAGCCCCACATGGAACCTTGATCCTGGCATTTAATCAGTTCCTTGGAAGGTGCTGCCTACCTTAAAGGGGGTTACAATGGCTCAGTGAATCAGTGGCTTTTATCCAGGGGTACCAACTCATTTTTTTTGCAAGCCACAGTTTGACAGTGTTGCATCATCATTCCTGTTTTTCAATTGCTCTTACTTTTCTATTTTATTTTTATCTTTGCTCTATTATTTTATATATATATATATTTAATACTTCATCCCTTTATGTTATTTGTTGCACTTGATGTCTTTCTTTTGCCATGCTAGATTTATGCCTGGGGCAGATTTTGTCTGTAAGTTTGATCAGAAATAGTTCAGCTGCAAAAACTAAAATGAAGCTCTTTTTGGTGCGTGTTAGAAAGTAAATCTTTAAACTCTAGAACCTATGGGGTTGCAGTAGAGGAGTGAAGGTTAGCAGGGAAACAACTCTGAGGTCAGTGAAATGTTTTTTATTTACAGTCCCTGTGAAAAACTCTGGACAGAGTTATCTATGAAAATAAACCACAGAGATATATTATATTCGGCACTGTGAAAGCTCTGAGCTTTGTCTATCATTTATGAAAATTTCAGTCCCTGCTCTGCTGCACAGTTTGAAACACAGACATCAAATTCCAGCCATTTCCAAAATAGCTGAGGAATTGAAGCCTTAAATCCCAGTTTCCTTGCATTGCACCTGCTAATTAATGAAAAAATTCTGGATACTTCATGACCCTTGTTGCTGTTGAAGATGCTGTGTCCCTGGGAGACAGGCAAGTGTTTTGTTCTTACAAACCAGGTAGGTTAGGGTCCAAGAGATTAAATCTGTGATAAAATGGAGAGGAGATCTCAAGTATGCTGTCAACTGGGAACATGCTGATTATATTTTGATTTACCAGCCTTATCAGTAAGGCACGCACCACATCTTACTTTGCACAGGACTGAGGTTTTTGTTATGTATCACCTAAACATGTCTCATTGACTGCATCTATATAGGATTGGGTCTTGGTTGCAGAAAAATGGATCCTTGTGGAAGGATTCAAGTGCAGTTCTGAAAAGAGATGGAGAATGAGAGGTGCAAAGGGCGTTGCTGCTTACATGAAGAGCAGTGGCCTGGGAAAGCAAGTCCCATTTTTCCCTTCCCCTGTAATTCTTCCTACATAGCGGTATTCTGCATCAAAGACAATCACAACTGTATGGTTGTATGTCTGTGTGTGTATGTTTATACACACACACACACAGGCACTGTCCTCACAACTGTGCTTGGAAGCATTTCATCATTTTTTCCCTCTTATCTTCCAAATATTAGCATTTAATGAAATACACATTTACTTCATTTATTTTGAACCTACTCCAAGGCCAGCAAATACCAGAACCTCAAATGTTATGACAGGATAGATTCTTTATTGGTTTGTTTTCTTTTCATTCTTTCTGTTTTCACTGTGATTTTTTATTTTTTTTTTAAAGATTATAGACCCTTATGTTCTAACTCAAGGAGCCTGGCTTCCAACTGAGGTAGACAAATACGTCCAAAAAAATGTCCCTGCGACCCATCCAATGCAGACAGCTGTGCAGCAAACAGGAAATTGAGGAAGTCAGGTTCATCCGAGACACAGGATTTCCTTTGTGGATGTTTCAGATAAAGCATCTTTAAGTTTTCAGTGCTGTGAAAGAGCCATGAGAAAAGCAGGGAAACTATTGCTTTGCACCTAGAAGACAGTGATGTGAAAGCACGACAGTTTCTCCTGGGCACCATCGCAGCTGGGCCATGTTGACATAAAGTCTTCCAAGTCTTCTGCCAGTGGTACAGGCTGGCAGAACACAAACCAGCTCTGCACCAGAAGCTGTGTGACACAGCCCCAGAAGGACTTACTAGGCTGGGCATGATTCCATGCTAATGTGGTTATACAGCTTCCACTTCAAAGTAAGCATAGTCCTTCCAGATTGAACAGTGGGCAGAACAATCTCAGGTCTATCTGTAAATGGCAATTAAAGTGTCCTCCTAGTTTTAAACATGTCATTCTAGAGGTTTAACCACTGCTGGCAGAATTGCATCACAGGAGCCAGAAGGTTCAACCATCTGCATGGGAGCAGTGTGGTGACAGTGATGGGGAAACACAGGTTTGTGCTGCAGAATAATGCAGCAGGTCTGAATTCATTGCTGAACTCTGCTAAAATCTTCTACGACTTTGAAGAAAACATTTGATTATCATGTGAAATTAGGTTAATCCTTTTTTTATTTTTTATTTTTATTTTTTTCCCTCCACTCATTGGCTTGTAATGGCTCTTGACATTTCAATGCTGAGATTAAAAACACGCCTATGTAGCATCTGGTATGATGTGATCCCAAACTAGTTTTGGGCTCCTATGAAACACTGGGGGAAATTACGTACCATGAATAGTGTCCATATGGCATTACTATAGCAGGCAAACACTTTGACGTTTGCCTGCATGACCTTAGTTTACCTCACTCCCCTATTTGTGGTGTTAGGTTGTGGAACAGTCTTACACGTGATGATAGTAACAGGGTAGCCATTTTGACTCATTTGGCCCAAAATGTGATCAGTCTGGAGTTGGCTTTGGGCTTCATAGTTCCACGTGTTTGTATGCAAGAGCTCTGCCTTAACTCCTGGAGAAACTGGAACATGTGGGATGAATAAGAACTGGAGGAGAAAGAAAAGTCTTATAGCACAGGTGGTTACTGGAACCCATATGAGTAACAGAGCCTTTCTAATGTACTCTTTTAAACTGAAACCTTTGCCCATGACTTTACTTTGCTCATGTCCTCATAGCATTTTACCACTTGTCTGTATCCAGCCACATCTTAGCATGGTGCCAGGGACTGTTAGCCATCAGGGACAGATCGCTCTGGGAAATGTACTAATGGTTTAACTGGGTACGTAATTGTGAGCCGGTGCATGGGATGACTTTCTAGTGATATTTATTTGGTTTAGTTATGCAGATGTGGTCTGGGTGACACGCACACAGAGACAAAAGCAATAAATGCAGAAATCATCCATCTCTGTTTAAGCCAAAGGGCACCCAGGACAGGAGGGCCCAATCAGTAGGGCATTTCAGCTAAAACATCTGCAAATGTGGACTAGGTTTGAACCAAGAGGTTGCTACAACCAGAACCAACTTTTCACAAGGTTACTGCCTGGCCAAAATATGAAAAATGATAATTTCTAAAGCGTGTCTGTGATACAGATGTCATAATTTTACCGAGTTCAAAGCACTCAAGCTGACACAGGGAGCACCTTGGGGTGTTCAGGGTATGTGGCATGACTATTAATATAATTATTAGTTAAAATTATTAGTTAAAAAAAACATGTGAAGTTCCTAATGTATTTTTAGAGAAATAGAACAGTGCTTTGGAAAAACAGTCAACCCACTGACACTCTGTTTAAGAAACTTTGAAAAATAAAGATATGTATCTTAGGTAATTACACTGAATATTTAGTCTAAGATCATGCCAGGAACATAGTTATTACCTTAAACATAAACAACTTTATATGCATTTTTTTACATTCATATATAAATATACATGGTTATAAAATTGTCCTGCATTTCCCAGTTTCCGGAGAAATAGACACACAGTGAGGCAATCACACTGAAATGTCGTAGGCTGACTAGAGCAGCTTTTCTTTTCAAACAGATTCCTCTTTTGTGTTGAAAACATGCTGAGTTGGCAACAGTACCTCAACCTGTCTTAGAAAACTAGCTGTCAAAATGGAGTGACCTTGCAACTGTAATCTAGCCTATAAAGGGTGGTCATGGACTTGAGTCTGATATTGGCAGTACTTAGGACTTTGGTGTCTTTTTTTTTAATAATTATTATTATTTATTTATTTTATTTTCTTCTTTTAAGTTGTATTTGGTATTCTTTTTTACAGTTCCGGTAACTGCAAATTAATTTCAGTTTCAAGAGCCCCTGTTTTCTGGTTGTTTGGATAAGGCAAGTTGAATTAAAACTTTGGCATAGAGCTTATTTGAAAGACCAATAGAGGATTTAACTTCTGTGTTTGACAAACTAATTGGCCAAGGTTTAAAACCATCAGTTATGCAATAAAACTGTATGCAATTAATTAAAGAGAGCTGATTATTTTCAGTCCAGCTCTGTTCCTGAAATGTCCTCCTACTCACTAATAAACTTTGTTCCTGCGGTGGTTTCTCTGAAATTAATAAACACATTGCAAAACTAGAGTAAGTCTGCCTCATTGTTTTCTTCCCATGCTCACTAGGATACAACGGTTACTGGACTGAACATTGTTTCATCCCAATAAGGCCCATATTGCAAGCACGCTTTTTCTTCCTCCCACGAGGTTGATAGCAGATTGTAGCATTAGCTGATCAGAGGCAGCAGCTTGGTTCAATGGCTGTACCAAAAATAAATGAATATGAAAGAAGTAAATTGTTCAGCTCCATTGGTTAAACATTCAGTCAAAAAAAGATAATTGGTAAAAGTAATTTTCCTAATAGCTGAGAAGAATCATTGGCTGTTTACAGGCCTCTGTTACTGATTTGCTACACTTTGTGACGAATTACTTAAACTTTGGGCTTCTGTCTCTGAAGAGTGGCTCCAGCAGGAGATGGGCACCACGGTCATCTTACCATTGCTGGGGAGAGAGCTGAGGAATAAAGCAATAACAGGACTTGTCAGGAATGAGGCAAGACAGAGAAAAGTCTGCTGTGGAGCAAGCTGTATCACTTATGGAGGACTTTTCCAGCCCTTTGACTGCAAATGCTCCAATTTTGTCTTAAAAATTATTAGGGGTAGAAGTAGCAGTAGAAGTTATTTTCTCACTGCAGGACGATGATACACCGTGTCCCTTACTGTTCATATCCATGGCCTAAGACATCTATGGTAGCTTTAAAGAAACTATTTTCTCCAGCTCTATGTGCCAGCTCTTTCAGGAGGCTGGCTTGACCTGTTGTGCTCTGTGAGAAACCTGCTTTCTTCTTTGCCTCTCTAGGGCCCAAACAGAAAAACTTCCTCAGTCACTCAAAACTGTGTCTGGGATAAGAATGAAGCTTGATGGAAGTCAATGACCACACATAACTAAAACCGTCCCTTGCTCTTGGAAAGCCTGAGGCTCTCTGGGGCCAGATCTGACTCTGTATGCCTGAACAGCACTCAGGAGAAAAGAATCCAAAATTGGCCAGGGCTCATGGGCTGTCCCTTACTGTAAGTGCAGTGCTGCCCACAACATTATTATGGAAACAGGAGACAAGTCCTACAAACCAGCTTAAAAATCAGTGCCAAGATTTAGCATGTTTCTAGTGTCTTGCTGAAGGTAGTGGTTGCTTTGGGAAGAATATTCAGAATACAGTTTTTAAAGACTGACTTTTTTCTCACAGGTGTGCCTTCCAAATCAGCCATTCAAGTACAGTTTGACCTCCAAATAAATCCAGTTCCTGAGCTGTTGGTTGATGTATCTTGTCTCATCCATTCTTTTAGCCATTCTAACCTCCAGTGACAAGGCATCTTGGAATTTAATTTTCTGATTGACAACTTCTGCACATATGGTCATCCTTAGGAATTATTATTTTGAGCAAACAGCCATCCCTGCATTATGGCAGACTCAACAGGTCACTCTTGTTCCCATACATATTTATGGAACAACATTGGATGTTTGCAGGGCATTTCTTTTTTAACTTCTCTTTCTGGAGAGTGAGTAGACTGTGGGGCCTGATTCAGGAGAAGGCAGTATACAAGCTAACTTGTTTACTTTGACTGATTTTACTTGTAGATAATGTTTCCCAAAGAAGCCCTTTGTAACTAATAACTCTTCACTGCAACCCTGGAGGGCTCACAAGTTATGGGATGGTGGATTATGGAAGAGGGTGGGTGGGAAAAAGTCAATAATAATACCAATAAAAAAACCATCTTTCTGATCAAAGCAGAAAATGCTTGAATAAAGATTATATTAAAAAAGAAAAATGTAGAGGTCTTGTTAAAACCTTTGGGTTACTGTCCAGTTATGTGGATTTTCCCTCTAGTGCTTATTCTGGCATTCATTAAACCCTGATAAGTTACATAGAAACACTTGAAAGAATGATTAGAAATGCTATGTGTGAATAATAGAATTGCTTAAAGGGAAATGGAAATTCTTAAAGGGAAATGCATACTGACATGGAAAGTGAACTCGTGTAATTTTCTCATTGTCTGGGGTTATTATCTTATTCCTTGTTTTTGTGGGTGTTGAATTTGTATGCTTTTATTTTCACGGTTTGGGGGCCTTAGAAAAATAATATTGCCTTTCCCTTAACTCCAGAGGGAGGCAGATGTGTTGAAGGTCTTTCAAAATGCAAACTCTCTTTTTTCAGGTGCCTTTCTTTGAGAGGCTTAAGCTAGAGCTTTTTGGGGAAAAAAAAAAAAAAAAAAGCCAAACAAAGAAAAAGCAAAAACAAGGAAGCAAACACAAAACAAACTAGCAAAAAAATCCAACCAACCAAACAAAACAACAACAACAAAAACCAACAGCCCTAACCCAAAGCCAACTCAGACCCTTTCTCAAAGTTGTCCATGCAAGTGCAGATGCTCCATTTGTGATCCTCTAGAAGTGAAGTCAGAATGTCTGTGGGTCTGCTAATGAAACACTTCATGAATGTTCCCTGATGAAAGATATGTACAAATCTTCTACGACCATTAGAAGTTGGACACCAAGCACCTGATTCCTTCGGTTACTCTGGGAATCTCAGACTCTGACTTGCAGTGTCTGTCTGAGGAAGTTGTCATGTTGTGTCTGAGTGTTTTCTCTGTAAAGCAACTCCCAGCCGCCAGTTATATGTCTCCAAGAGCTTGAATATTTTAGTGGATGTGTGATGGAGGGCTTAGGAGAAGAAGAAGTTTTGAAGTGAAAAATAAAAGAGGCTTTTATTACCATTTGAGCAAACTTATGCTGGATTGCTTGAACTGCAAGAGCAAAAGTCCAGTGTGCAACTCCTATTATCTTACTCCCCAGCAGTGCTAAGTCTCTAAGTCTCTGTGTGTTTGCAGTTGTATAAGTGCAAGACCAATGTTTCCTTGTCCAATAGGGTCTATCTTGGCATATGAAAGGGCATAACCCTATCTTGCCAATAGGAATGGCAAGGGAATGCTTTATGTTGCAAGCTACAATGCAGCCAGCATCTTTGGGAGTCTTTTTGCTTGAATAAAGGCTTATTGCTTGCTTACTTGGTGTTTCTTTTCAAACAACCAAAGTGTTAATGCTCAGAATGTCAAACACTGGAAGGTTAAATCAAAATTAACTTGTTGCTGCAAGAACATATCATATTCCTTTTCTTTGCTCTTCATATTACAGAAATAATAAAATAGCCCAGCAAAGTTGTGGGCAGGAGGGAACAGAGCTGATCCTGTGGTTGAATTATGAAGTCAAGCTATAAAACCCTAATCTAAACTGTGGGATAATGAGATGTGAGAGGCTTTTCTGAGGTCCATTGCTGATCACATGATGTTTGTTTAATAAGATGAGTGTGTTTGCACTGAGATAAAAGCATAGATTTCATTGAGAGAAGTTTCAAAACCAGCCTTCAATACTTTAAACCACAGTGATTTACAAGGACCTGAACAAGTGTTTTTTAAGCCATTCTGAGTTTTTTTGCTCCATCTCAGCTATATGTAGGTATAACTCTGACATGCCTTTCTTTGCCCATGTTATCCGACAGAATTTGAGAAGTGTTTTTTTTTTTTTCCTTGTATTTTCAACTGTGTGATCAAAAAAGGCTGTAATTCAGAGGATGAAACCACCTTTGAACTCAGTGTGTGTGTTGACACCACTCTCCAAGTGTATGGAGAAACTCAGGGTTAGTGAGCTCCCATACCCATCTGTCTTTCGTCCCCATGAAGACTACACAGGTAGCTGCCAGCAATGCAGTCACCCACAGCCAGCCAGTCCAGGTGTGCCTTGCCATGTACGCAAACAGATATTCAAGCTTTCAGGAAGACTAAGACACAAAGCATCATGTCTGTACTGCAAGTTGGTTTTCCCTTCTGCCTGGAGCCTGTAAGTGCCAGTATATAGTTGCACTGAGCTGTAGGTCGGGTCTTGAGGGAGACTTTGAGGTGCAATAAGGAGAAGTCTTATAGATGCATCTAGATTGTCATGCTTAGTGTTGGACTTTCCTGTGTTTTTTTTTTTTTTTAATTATTATTTATTTGTTTGTTTGTTTGTTTGTTTTTTTTTTTTGTTTGTTTGTTTCAAAGGAAGATTTCAGTTCTTTTTGGAAGCTTTGTCTTTCCTAATAATCATTAATCTCACCTTAACATTTTTGTCTAAGATGGATAAATTTCCCTTAGATTTCTCTTAGAATATCTGGATTTCTCTCAACTGAAGGAGTCTAACTCTGACTTAGATACTCATGTCTAAATGTTGAAACATGTAAGTTAGGTAAGAAAGAGCCAAAACTAGGGGCCCCTCAGAAATAAAAATTGAGACTTTTTCCCATGTAGTCCATAGAGCTAGTCTCTGAATTGGTTTTGTAAGAAACCACTTGGTTAATGAAAATATAGCAATGCAAAACTACTGCCTTCTGAGGATTGCAATAGATGCTATGATTATTTTTTCAGTGAAATCTAAAAGAGAGGCTCATCCCTTTCTGACTGAAATTGCCCAATAATATGGAATTGTCATTGAAATCTTACCAGATCCCCTGTGTCAGGGATCTCTTATCTACGTGCTGATGTGAAAGTAAAAATATATGGATAATATAGCAGTGGTTCTGATTCTTTGCCTCAATCATTATGTGGCCTCTATGTTTTGTATCTACAGTCAAGCTTTTTTGTATCTACTTTTTTTTGTATCTACAGTTAGCTTTTTTTCTTTGTTTCAAAATCTTTTTTTCAATCTTCTGAGGTAAAATTTCATTTCTTTCCCACTTACACAGAGAAAAGCCCATTGTGATTTTACACACAAAATTGTGTTTTCATTCAAGGAAAATCTTTTCATCTTTTCTTCATCTTTTTTTTTTTTTTTTTTATTTTCCTTTTATTTATTTATTTATTTATTTATTTATTTATTTATAAATTGAAACTAATAATTGAGCAAATGCAAAGATAACAGTCCTACAAGTAGTATCTGAAATCTGAAGAAAGCAATGGATGATTTTAAAATATTTATTCTGTTAAAATATCCCAAAATTGGATATCGAAGTGAAAGTTTTCAGTTTTCCAAACTAGGAGCTGGTCCTGTGAGCATGACCAC